ATATATACACATTTTTTTTTTTAACCATAGATAAATAAGTCGATTCATCGATCGGCAAAAAAACCAAAATTTATATACATATATTTTTTTTTCCTTTTATATATATATATATATATATATATATATATATATATATATATAAAAGGAAAAAATTTTTTGCAATATTCATTCATATTAAACGTTATGGTAAAAAAAAATGTTATTTATTTATACATCAAAATAAAATTTTCAGAATAGTTTGCCGGTCGCTAATAACAACACAAACACGCACACCGATCTTTAATAACGGATCACAAACGGGCATTAATATATATTTGATAATAATTATTAGATATTATAAAAAAGATCGATCCATAGCAAGATACGTTCGAAGAAATAAAATATCTTCCCGGTTTCTTTTTTTTTTTTTCTTCTTTTTTAAGAAAAGTTACCTTTCTTACTTTTAGCGTACGATCGAACCGTTGAAGCGTTTTGCACCTCGTATTCGCGGGCAATGGACCGTGCGTGCGATCGACGACACCGGAAGTCTACTCCCGTTCGTTCTCCGACCTCAAGAAGGATCGCGAAAAGTTAACGAGCACTACGTAAGTAAGTAGATAACTATTCAAAAAGATTATATTGAAAGAGGAAAGAATTTTATTCTATGATTAGTTGTTACTTTTTTTATTTGATTTGATTTGATTTGATTTGATTTGATTTGATTTGATTTTTTCCATTTATTTTTTTCTTTTTGTTTTCTTTTTTTTTTCTTTTATTTAATACGAGGTTGTCCAAAAGTCCACAAACAAAATTTCTGAGCACCTAAGCGATTTTAAAAATCAATTAATTTTCGTCGAGTGATTTAGGCTAATTTTATTTTAATTTTTTTTTTTTGTTCTTTTTTTTTCACATCTTTAGACTAATATCTTATTGTCGGATGAGTTTGGATTGTAGTTTTACAATTTGTAAGGAAAACAAAGAAAGAAAGGAAAGAAAGAAAGATCAAGCGCATAACTTCTGAGAAAATAATTAACGATTTGTAAAATCATCATTCTACATTAATAACCTTCCAGTAATAAATCTCTTAAAAAGAAAAAAAAACGAAGATTCAAAGGATAATATCAAAGCATTACAAACGTTGTATATACATAACCACTTTTTATCAATTAATAATTACGAATTTGGTTATTATATTGATTAAAACTTTTCTACGTAGATGAATAAGGTGAAAATCTATGGGATATGAGTTCGACTTAAATAGTATATTGAAGTATATATTAAGAGCGTATGAAAGACAATAACAAAAATAATCCAATTATTATTATCTAAAAGAATACGATGAATAACAACGTACGTCTTATTAAAAGTATCGACTTTAAAAGAAATAATCCATCTGAAATTGTTTCAACGTCAGATATAAAAACGTGCTATTAATTTTGAGAAATTTAATTATATAAAATCGATAGTAATATACATAAATGATGACTCTTAATTTTTTCACGATCACCTAGATACAATGATATCAAATGAAATATTCACATTTCATTTAAATCTTATATAAGTTCTAAAATACATAGTTCATTCATATATACACATGAAGACCTCCCACACACACACACACACACACACACACACACATATATACACACGAGATATAGTATTACGAACCGAATCGATGAAGATATCGACGAAAAAGTAGGAGAACCGAACGGTACCATTGGATCAATCTATCGATATTTTTCTATAAAAACAAATACTTACATCCATAATAGATATAACACCTACAAGTAAAACATATATCTAAAATTTGATTAAAAAAAAAAAGAAGAAGATAACAAATGATGAAAATAAAGAAAAAGAAAACAAAAGAGAAAGAGAGAGAGAGAGAGAGAGAGAGAGAGAGAGAGAGAAAGAAATAAAAAAATAGAGAGTAATTACTAAGGATCTTAAAATCTGTAAAAAAAAAAAAAAAAAAGATAAAGAAAGAATTAACAAAAAAAAGACATATTTTGATGTTCTATTAAAAGTATTATTTCTTCCACAGAATCGCCCTCCGCAGTATCCAAGGATAGTAAAGAGCAGAGAAAAAGAAGAAGCATCCTTCGACCCGCTTCGAAGAGCACTCTCTCTCTCTCTCTCTCTCTCTCTCTCTCTCTCTCTCTCTCTCTCTCTCTCTCCTCCTCTCTCTCTCCTTCTCTCTGTCGCTCTCAAGGCTCAGAATCTACCCCGATCTACCCTTTTCACCTCCCCACCCGTTTCTTCTCTACCCTTCGGCTGCCTCTCTTGAATCTCTCTCCCCTTCTTTCTCTCCCCCGTCTCTCTAGCTTCCCTGCTTCTCTACTTCCCTCGGCACCCCACTTCTCTTGCCTCTCCTCTCTCCATCTCTCCTTCTATCTCTCTCTCTCTCTCTCTCTCTCTCTCTCTCTCTCTCTCTCTCTCTCTCTCTCTCTCTCTCTCTCTCTATTCACGGAGGGGAAATTTTCTCTCCTCGGATTCTTCCCCTCTTCATCCCTGGCCCACCATCACGCCGACCTCTCCCGATATTACTCCGAGAGGAAATTTCGCGATATTCCTCGCAAGAGATTTATAGAAAAATTAATTATGCAACGTCGATTCTTCTTCTTCTTCTTCTTCTTCTTCTTCTTCTTCCACTACTACTTCTTCTTTCGGCAGCATAGTAACATCCATCGTGTGCGTGCAATTATCGAAAAATTACATACATATATACATATATACATACATATATACATACATGCATACATATAGCTCTTTTCTATTAAATAGATACTATACAAAAATGATTTCCTTAATAATACCGTTTTCGAAATAAATATTCCGGCTCTTTAAAATTTCATATCTTAATGTTACTCCATTAACGATAAAATTCTATTTTCTATTGAAGAGAGGAAACATATATCAAATTCATTATTATAACACTTTTATATATATATATATATATATATATATATATATATATGTATATATATATATATATATCATTGTTTGAAGATATTATAGAAAATTATTTAACCTATAAAATCTACGATCTATGTAAAAAATAATAAGAAACATTCGGATAAACGATTCAATGCTTTTCCTTGAAATAGGTAACACGTAAGAGAAAAATCGTCGCTAGTTTCTATATATATATATAAACATACATATATACATATATATATACATACATATATATATATATATATATATATATATAAAGAGAAAGAGAGAGAGAGAGAGAGAGAATCGTTGGTGCGTTCTCGAAAAAGCGCCCCCTAGGAGTCGCGCGAGAATATAGACGCGACAAAAAGTCTCCCCCTATGTCGACTCTCGAGACTCTCGGTGGTCGTCCTAAAACCGAACCCCCTAAAAAGAGAATATCTTTCTCTCTCTCTCTCTCTCTCTCTCTCTCTCTCTCTCTCTCTCTCTTTCTCTCTCTCTCTCTCTCTCTCTCTCTTTCTCTCTCTCTCTCTCTTTTTCTCCTATTCTCTTATTCTCTCTCAACCCTTTCTGCTTTCCAGCCTGGTTGCTTGCTTTCTGCATGCTACTACTGCTACTGCTGCTGCTACTGCTACTACTATTGCTGCTATTGCTGCTGCTTTACCGACGCTACTAAGGGATGAAATGTATACGAGAGAGAGAGAGAGAGAGAGAGAGAGAGAGAGAGAGAGAGAGAGAGAGAGAGAGAGAGAGGGAGACTAAAGGAAATCATCCCTTCAGAGAGAATAATTCTCTCTACTTGACCATCTTGTCTCCTTCGAAAGTGCACATACACCTCGGCAAAATTTATTCTCAAGTATAAAAAAAGAAAAAAGTATAAAACATTGTACGTAAGAATCTCTATCATTTCGCGAATTACTATTGAATGATATTAATTAACAAAATAAACACAAATGAAAAAAAAAGCAAAAAGAAATATTTTGCTTTCTCTATATCATTAAATTAATTTCTTAAAGTTTATAATGTTGGTATTTCTCTTTTTTTTTTTTCTTTTTTTTACGTCTTTCCTTCAATCTTTCCCTTTCTTTTTTTCTTTACCTTTCTCTTTCTATTTCCTCAAAGCAATATCTTTAAATGAAAACACGAATACGATATCGATAGAAAACGATGAGTCAATTAATCATCGCGAGTGCGGAGGGTCGTACAATTTATCAAGTACGTTGTGTTAAATAGAGAGAGTGAGAGAAAAGGGGAGAGTTTGAAAGAGAGAGAGAGAGAGAGAGAGAGAGAGACCAACACACGCGAATAAAAGAATTCTTAGCTAACGAGCCATGTCGCGCATGGGAGAAGGTAGTACGCCCTCGCAATGTACACACTCCTGACCCTGATATGCGTATGATAAGGTCAACCAACAAAGAGAGAAAGAGAGAGAGAGAAAGAGAGAGAGCGATAGGGTGAGATCGTAAATATCGTACCTGTACAAGAATATACATATGTACGTCTAACGTACGATAAAATCTAGTTATTATACGTGCTTATATTTATCAAGAAACATAAATTAAAAGAAAAAAAAAAACAAAAAAAAAAAAGGAAAAACCAAGATAGTTTATATTGATTAATAAATAAATATAATTAAAATAAATATAAATATATATATATATATATATATATATATATATATATATATATACATATTTGGATAGAAGTTTATTGAAACGAACAAATATGATAAACAGTTAATGTAATTAGGCTGACTCGTGCCATAACATACTCCTTTTCTATAGCAGATTTTAAAAGCATTAACATTCTCTCTCTCTCTCTCTCTCTCTCTCTCTCTCTCTCTCTCTCTCTCTCTCTCTCTCTCTCTCTCTCTATCTATCTATCTATCTATCTCTATCTCTCTCTCTCACTCACTCATTCACTCGCTCATGTGTGCGAAAAGAGACACGCGACTAACGTAACTGCGTACAAGGTATTACGTAAGGAACAGGTAGCTGCTGCGTAATAGGCTAACGCGAAGGACTCTTTTTTTCTGTCCCTAACAATCGCCTTCTGATTCTTATGTTTCACGCTGATATCACGATTATAATGAAGCATGAAACGTTGTTATTGAACGAGATAGAAAATAAAAAAGAAATCGGAATAAATAAATCGTCCAGTGTGATAAGAAAAAAGAAAAAATTATCGGATAGAAATGAGGGAATAAAAACTGAATTATTGAACTCCGATCGATTAGCATTAAGTGTGATCGTTATACGAATTCGATTACATTCGTAATTAAATTATTTACGAATAATTTAATTTCAATCGTGTGGTATACCCATACTGAAATTAGATAACACAAACTCACGATATAAAGGAGACGTATGTAGGTAGGTATGTATGTATTTCGTAACACGTTACGACGCAAGTATATTTTACATAACGAAGACGTAATTGCTGATTTATTAACCAACTAATTGAACAAAAAAAATAATAATTTTAATTTATGTCCTAACGAAAGAGTAAAATTCGTAAATTCATTATTCCACTATCATTGTATCAAAATTATAACATTCATTTTTATTATATATATATAATAAAAATGAATCTCTTCTTATATAAATGACATGTATATGCACGTACAATACATACACACAGATTTAAGCAAGTCTTCTTCCTATTTATTCAGGTAGAGAAACGACCTTGAGTTAACGGGTTAAGGACGACTTCAGCTAAATGGGCCATTGGCTGCTTCGACGATCAACGTCCATCTCAAAGGTAGAGAGTATTCGAAGGTCGTAAAGGAGGGTTGAGTAAAGTACTAAAGAAAATATCTTTCGAATGGAGTACATTTTAGGAGGCAGCTGTCAGTGGAAAAAAAGAAAAAGAAAAGAAAGGAAAGGAAAAAGACAAAAAGTTCCCAACCAGCTAGTTCAATCCCATGGACGAAAGAATTTTTAGGGTTTCCATTGATATAAAGGATTATGTTTCGAAGGGCAAGACTTTTACGTTTAAACTTACCTGGGTTTTGAACTTTAAAAATAATAAAACTCAAAGCACAGGTAAACACATTTATTTTCTAATAAATTTCGGAGTTTTGCTATATAATATATGCGCTTACTTGCTAGTTATTTATCAGTACCTATCAGAATCTACCAAAACCTCAGATTTATGGTATATACTTATTAAGACTTTTCAGGATCTATCAGGAGCTATTAGTACTTATTAAATCCTTTATGATAATCTCAATCTCGTAATCTCAATAAAATTTTGGAACATTACCTTTCTCATTTTTATTCATTCTTCAGAATAACTCAATCTCAATTTCGACGATATAAAAACATAAACATAAGAAATATAAAAAAATATTTACTTATATAAAAAAAAATAAAACAAAAAAAAAACAAAATATAAAAAATTTTTACTCTGGTTAATTCTAATTGGAGTGAATTTCTCGTTACTGTAACTATATCTTCATTACGATAACATTATCGGACGATATCGAATGATAAAATCATTGTAGAAACATATTCGATAAATAATAGAAACATTGATTTATTACTATGTACCGCGGAAAGAATCAACTTTACATATTATGCATCGCTCATTGTATAATATAATATCTCACTGGGAAAATCTATGGATGTTGATTCGTTCAGAAGTATATAAAATCTCTAACGAAATCAACTACTCTGATAATAATATTCCAAAAAAAAAAAAAAAAAAAAAGAAGGAAAAGAAAAATACAGATACAAATGATTCGCGTTTTAAGATTATATAAAGCAAGTGAAAATATAATCGTAGATATCGAGATATCGAGTAATCGTAGATTTATGAGTTTAAATTGATAAAAAATGAAAGAGAAAGGCAAAGAGAGAAAGAAAAGGAGAAGAAGACAGAGAGAGAGAAAAATATATGTATGTATATAGAGAGAGAGAGAGAGAGAGAGAGAAAGTCAATAAAAATCACGCGTCTTTTTTCAAAATGTTTTTCGTGTAAATATAGACGCATGTAAGTACGTAAGCCCGCAAAAAGTTACGATAATTAACATTTCAAAAGCCCACGTATTTTGTTTCGACGTACAAAATGTATTAAGTTTTTCCCGCGCCCATTTCAGGACAAGTGCGATCGTGCAAATTCAAGAACGAAGGAGTCACAGTGCAAATACCACATTGAGATTCAATTCTCGCGGGAAGATCATTAACGTAATAGCGAAATCAACGACGGATTTATCTTAATCTTGTTTGTGGTTGGTCACTCACGTACGCTGACAAGACGACAGGATTCTCTATGACGATGTAACGTGTGGAAAGCGTGTTTTTTCAAAAGCAAAAAGAACAAAGTCGAAATTGTCAAGGGGAAAGAGAGGAGAAGAGAGGGAAACAGAGAGAAGGAAAAGAGAGAGAGAGAGAGAGAAGGCGCGCAAAGAATCGAACGAATAAAAAGTAAAAAGACTCTTCCTGGTCGTCGTACAACGAGGAAAGGATAAAAATCGTAAAGGTTTTTCGCGCGCAGAACGAGCGAAGACACGTGATGTCGGTGACAGAGGAAGAGGAGGAGGAGGAGGAGGTGGAGGTGTAGTGGCGTGATAGTGCGGAGGTGAGGTGGGTGACGAAAAAGGCGAGTAAATGTGCCGGATACTCTCATCCATACGTGTTGGTCGACATTCAACAAGTGACTGACACTGATGTCGCCCGAACGATATCCTACGTCCTTTGCCCTGCAAGGGTGGAAGTGGGATGCAGTAGGGGGTAGCATTATTGCCGGCACCGGCCGAGTCCGAGTATCGGAAAGCTTCTGTGGCATGTAAATACATATCTCAATTTCGCTGGAAGAGAAAGTTTTTCTTCCGAAATTTGCGAAGCTTTCGTGTAAGCTTACGCACGATGCCTTTTTATATTCTTCGTCTTTCTTAATTATTCGACTGTATTTATCTTGAAATAAATATCTTCGAGATAAATAAGAAAAGAATATTAAACTTCGAAAGTATCAACGTTTTTTCTTTATATTTTCGCTTAAAACAAAATTCCCTACTGTCAAAAAAAAAAAAAAAAGAAAGAAAAAAGAAAGAAAGAAAAGAAAAGAAAAAAAACGGGAAGACCTAACCTCGAATTGCAAACGACGTTTGACTCGCGCGCGCCATCTCGTAGAATGACGCCGTTTCCGTGTGGTTTTTGCAGAACCGAACTTTCTCCTCAACCCTTCGCAAATGGTTTCAGGATCGAAAATATTGAGGGAAAAATCGAGGCAGTTCGAAGGAAAATGAGATCTTTCTCTTTCTTTCTTTCTTTCTTTCTTTCTTTCTTTCTTTCTTTCTTTCTTTCTTTCTCTCTCTCTCTCTCTCTCTCTCACTCTCTCTCTTTGATTCTATCTACCTATCTTTTTCTTTTATGAAAGAAAGGAAAAAAGAGAAAGAGAACGTTCTCCGTGAGAAGGCATAAGCGCGTAAATATCAGCGCGGACGAAGAGCCATGGAGCGTAGGAATGGAAAGAAGGAACGAACAGACCGGTCTTGCTGTCTGCTCTTTCTTTCTATCTCTCTTTTTCTTTCGTCTCCATATGCTCTTCCCTCGCGTTCTTGAAGCAAAAGAAAAAGATGGAGTCGAAGAAGTCTAACGCAACAGAGAGCAAGAAAGAAAGAAAGAAAGAAAGAAAGAAAGAAAGAAAGAAGGAAAGAAAGAAAGAAAGAAAGAAGGTAAGAAAGATAGGAGAGGGCTGAGGAGGGGCCGTCATAATTCCTTGAATTGAACGGCGGTTTATTCTCCACCAAGGTTACCGACGAGGAGGATGGACAGAGGCAGGCGAGCAGCAGGCAGGCAGGCAGGCAGGCAGGCAAGAGAGTTGGCAGGCACAGGTAGGCAAGCAGGCAACAAGCAAGCAGGCAGGCAAGCCGGCCGGCAAACAGACAGGCAGGCAGGCAGGCAGGTAGGCAAACAGGCAGGAAGGCAGGAAAACAGGCAGGCAGGCAGGCAAGCTGGCTGGTTGGTTGATGGAGAGGCGCCGACGAAGAGAGGGAGTAAGAGAGATGAAAGAGGAGGAGGAGGAGGATGAAAGGTAGACGAGGGAGGAGAAAGGCGAGGGGATCGATAGAACGACAAGGACAGGGTATGCGTATATAGTTATACACATAGCATGCTACGGCAGCATCGGCTGTCGTCGAATGACGGAAAGGGGATGGAGAGAAAGAGGGGAGGCCTGCGAGCGTTTCGAGGCGTCCCTGGATGGCGGCACCACCGTCGACCCCAACGCACGGATAGATGCGATGAGGCCTGCGCCGTTTGTGTAGGTGTTTACGATTACTAGTGGTAGTAAGTAATAGTAGTAGTGTAGAGTAGCGGGATGGCTAGGTAGGTAGTGGTAGTATATGTAGAATCATTGGCACAGCGGCAGCAATACTGACTGGGTGGGGATAACGTCAGACTGACGGACTCGTGGGAAAGAGAGAGGAGAGGAAGCGAGTGAGTGAGCGAACGAGCGAACGACAAAGAGAGAGAGAGGGGAGAAAGAGAGAGAGCGACATGGGCGCGCGCGCGAGGCTCGACGAGGAAGGAGATTGGTCGAGGCGGTGGCGACGATGCGACTGCCTCGGAGGTGGGAGAAGGCTGGCGCGATCGGATCGCGGTGAGTATGAGAGAGAGAGAGAGAGAGCGACGGAGAGAGAAAGAGAGATAGAAAGAGATAGAGAGAGAGAGAGAGAGAGAGACAAACCGAGAAAGGGCGAGAGAGGTAGAAAGCAAGCAAGAGAGAGCGTGGAGAGAGATGGCGAGGGATGGTGCGAGGGCAGGAGGGAGAGAGCCGACTTTATGCAGCTGCGGGACGATAACAACGATGGGCTACAGGACCGCCGCTATAGCTGGGGAAATGCCAAATGGGCTACAGGACCGTGCCGGCCTAGCTGTACGTACGTTCGCTCGCTCGTAGTGGCATGGCGGACGGGCGGCAGAGAGAAGCAGGCAGGAAAGGCGGGAAGGAGAGAGGGATTTCAAGCGGTCGTCTCTTCTCGTCTGCCTCTGCCTCTGCTCTCTACTACGCTCTGCTCTGCTCCGCTCTGCGCTCTCTTAGAGACGACGTGTATACCTACCCACGTATACTCCTCTACCTATACCACCCGTCTATCTATCTTTCTCTCGTTCTCTCTCTCTCTCTCTCTTCCTCTCTGTCTCTCTTATTCGCTCTTTGCTGCCACTACGTACTTTTCCTCTCTTCTACCATCTTTGCCTCTTCTTCCTCTTTGGTTCTTCTTCTTCTCTTTCTTCCTTCTTCTTCTTCTTCTTCTTCTATTACGACTACTACTACTACTACCACTACTAAACTAATACTACTACTACTATACTACTACTGCTGCTGCTGCTGCTGTTGCTGCCGCTACTTCTGCTTCTGCTGTTTTTCTCTTTTACTCTTCTCTTTATCTTCCTTCATAGCTCCTCGCGTACTTTTCTCTCAAACATTTTCCGCGACCGGTGCTCGACTCGCACGTCTTCCACGATGACGTTCCTAGTCCTTCGCGAACTTTGCCCCTTCCCCTCTCTCCTCCCATATCCCACCCAATCCCCTACCCATCAAGGAGAAGCGCGTCCGACGTACTCTTTCAAAAATCGACGCGTCCTCCATTATCCGATTTTTCTTTGATAAACACAAGAAGAACACTGAGACTTTCGACTTCGGAATAAATGATCCGATCCGATCCGATCCGATCCGATTTCGAACCCTTTTGATAATATACGACGAAGAATTATTAATACGTCCTCTCTTTCTCTCTCTTTTTCTCTTTTTCAAAGAATATACCTACGCAAATGAAAACCTTACGAACCGAGTAAATGGAAAGGGCTTGCAATGACGTTTCTAGAGGTCGCTGAGAACAAAGTTTAAAGTTCGTACATGGGATGTCTCGATTTAACTTGATCCTTAAAATGATCTCGCATTTGTCTTTTCTTTTCTCTTTTTTTTGTTTTTGTTTTGTTCTTTTTACTTTCTTTCCTTTTCTTTTTCGAGAACGATAAGAAAAATCAATCGAACGGCGAAAATGATTGATTTTGTAGAAACAATTAATATTTCAAAACTTCCCTTTCGAAATTCCGACGTATAGTCCCTCTTGAAAGTTTTATTTTCTTTTTTACTTTTTCAACTCCAATAGAAAGAAAGAAAGAAAGAAAGAAAGAGAGAGAAAGAGAGAGAGAGAGAGAAAAAGAAAAAGAGAGAAAAAGAGAGAAATCGATATTTTTTTGTTGATATAGTTAAACGGAACACCCCGTATAACGAGCGTACATTGGGAGCTCTCTCGGAAGCGCGTCGATCCATATTTTAAAGCTACGGTCGATATTGAGAGAGAAAGAGAGAGAGAGAGGGAGAGAGAGAGAGAGACAGCGATAGAGAGAAATAAAGAGAGAGAGATCGTCGAGTTTTGTACTCTTTTTGATTTCGTTAAAACGCGAGTATGATTTTCTTCAAACTTATAAATTCAAAGGTCCTCTTCTCAGAAAATCAACGATAACAAAGATAACGATAGCAATAACGATGACGATGGTGATGACGAGGACGATGATGACGATGACGATAAAAATGAAGACGACGACTACGACGACGACGAAGTAAAAGACAACGTGAAATTGTTTTATTAAAGAATTTCTGAACGAGGACCAGCCTGAAATTGTCAATCTCTAAAAACGGTCAATGCTTTTTGAAAAAGAAAAAAATCCATGATACACACATCTATATATATATACATATATATAGGTATATGTATGTATATATTATAGATACTATGGATATTATATATATATATATATATATATATATATATATATATTATAGATACTATGGATATTATATATATATACACGAGCAAAACGAATCTCTTCGAGTTCCAGCAGCGTTTGAATTTACCGCTGATTGCCGTAAAGAGAGAAAGAGAAAAAGATATATAGATAAAGAGAGAAAGAGAAAGAGAAAAAGATACATAGATAAAGAGAGAAAGAGAAAGAGAAAGAGAAAAAGAGAAAAAGAGATAGAAGCGAGTAGGCGTGGGCGAGAGTACGACGACGGGCTTTCGACGATCGTCGACGAGATACGTCGGTCCACGCAATGACGTCAGAGGTCGGCCAATCCTGCAGACTACGTTCTCTATCCATCTCGCTCGCTCGCTCGCTCGCTCGCTCGCTCACTCACTCACTCACTCACTCACTCACTCACTCACTCACTCACTCACTCACTCACTCACTCACTCATTCTTTCTCTTTCTCTCTCTTCGCAGTAAGCGCGCGCGAAAAAAGAGAGAGAAGAAGTGAGAGAAAGAGAGAGAGAGAGAGAGAGAGAAAAAAGAACGAAGCAAAACCTCGCGGAGTACGAGAGATCGAAAAGAGCGCGATTGACGGATAAAAGTAGAAGACGATTCGAGATATCGTTGCATCGTTTAACCGCCGCAACAACGTTCAAACCTTTTTCTCTATTACAATTTACAATTTATAAGAGAAATGAAAAGGAATGGAATAGGAAAAAAAGAAAGAAAGAAAAAAAAAATATAGAGGAAATAATTAAATCTTAGGAAAAAAGGAAAGAAGAAAAAGAGAATGAAAAAAGAATTTATAGACACGATTGATAGACACGATAAATAAAACTTGTTTTAGTGTTTTGATCGTACACGTACCTATCTATTTATCTATTTATCTATCTATGTATGTACATATGTATGTATGTTGAAAAGTATATACGATGAAAATTTCACCTATGTACTTATGTACGTATGTATGCATGCATCTATTTATATATATATATATATTATATATATATTTATGTATATATATATATATATGTGATAATAAAATTCGACAAAGCCAAATATCGAGGTCGTCTACAAATAGGCAGCAACGTCGGTGCGTGTTCGTTCTTCTGCGAAAAACGTTTCGTTGTCACACGACCCTGCCGGCTCTTGTTCTTCTTTATGTTACTCGAGCACACTCACACACACACAACATATGACATAAAGATATATATATATATATATATATATGTGTATGTATTTATTTACATTCGTGTAACATAAATACGTCTATCGCGTTCGATCTGGACGAATACGATCCTGAAATTAATCGGCGATCGAAGCGCCATTGAGTACAGTCGGAATCTTGAAAAACGACGGGTATCGATGGGTCATCGATAGGTCGATCGATCTAACCATTTCCTCTTTTTTTTTTCTTTATTCTCTATTTCTTTTTTTTTTCATCTAACAATAAGATTCGTTCCTAAAACTTGAGAAAACGTTCGCTAACTAACTCGAAATTCTCTTTTCGTGCGAGTTACTCTGAGTTAGATCTTTTTAACCCTTGAACCCCCGTCTGTCCTTTTCTCTCTTTTTCTCTCTCTATCTCTCTCTTTCTCTTTCTTTCTCGAAGAAATACCGTCTAATATCCAACGTATATTAATGAAGTAATTATGGAGATATAATGACAAAGAGAGAGGAGAGAGAAAGAGAGAGGGAAAGAGAGAGAGAGAAAGAGAAAGAGAAAGAGAATTCCGCGAGTCTTCTAAACCGTTTCAACCTCTTCCGTTTATCAACGACGTTAACTTTAATCACATCGCACGAGCGCTCTCAAACCAACGACGACGACAACGACGACGACAACGACGACGACAACGACGACGACAACGACGACGACAACGACGACGACAACGACGACGACGACGACAACGACGACGACGACGACGGATCTTTCAATTGGAATTATGTTAAAATTCTACGAGATGCGCGAGAAGTCTCCCTTCAAATAGAATTCCATCGAGTACTCGTGCATTACGCGTATTTTCAAACGAATCGTCATTACCATACGATGGTAACCAAGTTGCCTTTGTAGATACGTCAGCTTGAAAAAAAAGAAAATCTTTCACCCTTCAAATCGTTGTAATATGTCTAGCGACACATAATAATAATAATAATTATAATAATAATAATTGTAGTAATAGATATAATGTCTAGCGATCGCAAAGAAATAAATATATATACAAATAGAAAGAGAAAAAAAGAGATTTCTACGCTCTATGATCGTGAATAATCGTAAAATATATATATATATATATATATATATATATATATATATATATATATATGTCAGTGTAAGAATTTATACATTAAAATATTGAAATATATTTTCCTCGAAAATATTAAATCAAAGATATACGTATTTATGTGAAAATTTCGGCGATATTATTACACAAACATATACATACACACACACATTTTTTTTTCTTTTTTTTTTGTTTAATAAACTACTTTCGCGAATATTAATAACTAAAAGAAAACTCGGAAGATTAAATTATTCTTAAAAATTTCGTAATTTGCTTATCGTTTCAATTACGTATATCAAAATAGAACAAACTGGTTATATTATAAAATATTAATATAAAAATGTACATTCAAATTTATATCATTATTTTTAAACATTGTATTGAAATATATTATATAAGTGATTAATAATAATTCTATATCTTTTAAGTTCTATAATGAAAAATATTATATTGCATAGAATTATTCTTGCTGACACAGAGGTAGAAATATTAGAAGATACACTTTCCATATATAAACTCATGACACCTATGTTCGAAGACGTACTCGAGCAGTGCTGAGAGCGAAATCAGGTGGCATCTTCTCGAAGCTTGTCAAATTTTATTTATTAATTATATATAAAATTTTCTTTTAATGTTAAATATGTCCATCCATGCATATCCGTATGATCAGTATTATAGATACATAAATGTATATACAACATTATTTTATAATGTCCAAATGACCAATGAAAAATATAATCAGATAAAAATATCTTTACTATTAACTTTAGTCAATTAAGTTACATTCTATGTTATCGACTGACGTTACAGGATTGCATCGATAATCGTACTATATCACTAACAATAGCATCGGTAAAGTAGAATATTAATCAAAATTATTTACCAAAAGATGTTAAATAAGTTGATAGTAGGACGAAGTAAATTTTCATCTTATTCAAATTCTTCTTGGTCTTCTTAAATCTTCAATATATTTTGATATTCATTTTTTTTTCCGTCAAAATGTAATAACCTCTGTTAGAAACACTTGAATTTATGAAGAATCATTTATTTCTCACATATATACAACAATAAATATATTAATACTAAACTCTAATGCATTTTCACTAAAGGAATTATAAATTTTCAAATAATGATTTATAATTTCGTGCCGTATGATACGATATGATTATTAAAATAATAATGTGTTTAGATCGAGTTCCTCGTTTTGTGAATTGTTATCGAGTAAAGAAGGATATGAATTGCGCGCGAAAAATTGACGACATGTTGGAAATCTAACCCTTCGTTTCGTTCTACGAACTTTTAAGATTTTTGACGACAATGACAATAAAGATTCGAAGGATCGAGTAAATTTATTCATTCTGCCAATAAGAGTGATCTAATTACACGAAATATTACGCTGTTCGTATTAAATATATTAGAGATATATACCGCCACGAACAATCTCTCACACTTTTTGAAAAGAACTGGATTGGATCAGTGCATAGATTATGGTGGGAGAAAGAAAAGAAGAAAGAAATAAATCCGATACGTGATTGGTCGTCTGATCAGTATCATTGTCCACATGTGTACATACAAATTATATAAACATACTATCGCATTTACGTATCATTGCGCCATCTATTACCCTGCAGACTGAATTAAAATTTGTTGAGACCCTTTTATAGCTTTCACATACGCACATCGATACAAATCATAGTACTTAAGCGCAGCAAACAATTATTATTGTAATCCATGAGATTCCACCAATAGTATTCATCACCAAAAAACTACGCGTTGTTTTATTAAAACACAATGTTATTAATAATTTCAATCCCAATGGATAAATATAAAACTTCAAAATCAATCTGTATATTGCTAACACGTCACATTCATAAAATGTCAAACATCGTGTTTAAATATTGGAAGGCATGTGATTAATTGATCGTAAGAATTTTATCTTTACGAAAATTTTCACGGCTATAACTTATATCTTACGTTGAAAAATATAGAGAGGTAGAGTCGACTTTGATTGGTTGATTTCCTTACAATTTAAGTACTACGTTTTACATCGATGGGTGTATGAGACCTTAAGGTTGTTCAACATCTTTCGTTCAAAACGTTTGTGACTTCAGCGACAAGTATGGACAAAACATGAACTACAACCGCAAAATGAGAAGACTATAAATATATGATAAATGAAAATAATACAGAAATTAGGATATATCAGTAAGAAATTATTTTAAAATTGCTAAGAAATTAATTTAAAATGTAACTACGTATAATCAATTTATCTATTAAAGCATGATTAGCAATACAAAATGTAACTAATTTAATGTTTAATTAGAAATAGAAAGAAAAAATTTTGGAAACGTATTGAAATATGTAGCCATTCGTCTAATAATAATTGTGTTATATTATCTAAATATAAATTTTGATATATCGCAAGTAATATCAATCCAAATCTCAGAAAAATAATGATCCCAAAGAATGCTCACAGATCGATAATTTTAATACATTCAAAATTTATTATTTAAGAAAATTATAATAAAATCTTTAATAGAAGAGGAGAAAATGTTTCCTTTTAATAAAATCCTATATATGTACGTATATTCATTAATAATCATATCATTATATCATAAATGAAAAAAACCATTAAGTTCGTTATCGTTGAAATAATTTGCACCATAGAAATCTTACATGATAAAATTAATCATAAAAAAAACATTTTTTACTATTGATATAGTCAATATTTATTTAAATAACATATAAAAAAATATCTTTGTATCACACATTATCTATGATCAATTAATTAACGTACAATCTAAATAACATAATCAATATGAGATTGATATTAAATAAATAAAAAGTTTTTAAATTCAGCTATTTAGTCTACCATTAATGCAATTAAAACAACTCTATATTCTTCTCTCTTGTTTTTACTGATTTCAAAACTTCATAAATTTTCAGATGTTTTTAATAATATTACGTACAAACTTTTCTGACAATTCTGTAAATTAGATCGAATTGAAACATTACATTTGTAAGTGTTTATAAGTAACTAATATATAATAAAATTATAGAGTAATAATCATTGAATTAAATAATAGTATCGAATTATACATATAATACAAAGGTATGATTAACAATGTAAAATGTGAATACTTTAATGTCTAAGTAAGATATGAAAAGAAAACATTTTAGAAACGCGTAAAGACATGCAGCCATTCGCTCGGTAGTACTTGCAGTATAACATATACTTATATATCATCTAAGTTTAAAATTTTATATATTGCAAGTAATATCGACCCAGATCTCACCACGTAAAGGTTGCTGCATATGGAGATCCATGGTTTAACGGTGACTCTACTCTAAGATCCACATACCTAAATATCTTTTTGCTTCGAGAGCTTCAGACTTCTTAACTAACAAGAGGCAGTCCTCGGTAGGACTTAATTTCACGCCCGTAAACACTCACGCATGTGCACACAAACAAATGTACGAGTATTCTTTTTATCGTAACCATACGTAAAAATGGATATCTCTTCACATCTAGTGTGGAAAAAAGAAATACTTACGTGGATAAAACCAATCCCAAAACCATGATGATGAACCTAATGAACGTGAGCCCTTTCATGTTACATCGGATCTTCGACGATATACCAAATTTTCGTTATTGGATCGTCTGATGAAATGAATGCTTCATCGACAATTAATCAATTCATTAACGAGAACTCTATCCATCGATGATAAATCGATCCCTCGACGAGAAAGAAATCTGAATAATTTCGAAAAATGTCAAAAAACGCACGCGTACGTTAGAACGAAAAGAGTTCGATTCTTCCCTTCCGAAAAAAAGTACCCGCCCAAGGCCCCGCCCAAGGCCCCACTCAAGGACCTACACTCGAGAGCCTTACTCAAGGGTTCCATTCGAGAGAAACTAGAATAATTAATTTATAACAATTAATCTAGAATAATTGTTTAAAATATTATATGCAGTCATTCGCACCGTAGCATTGGTTTTTATTTAAATTCCTATCTTTCCATTTCCCTTTCCTAATTCATTAATATCTTCGTGGATAGTTCGAAAGAAATCTGTAGATAGTCACTTCAAAGCATTTGCACTCACCAATAAGACCAGTCGAGTCTTATCAATATCACTGGCTATGCCTTAATTGGAGGTATCCAACCCAATCTAAAATGTAACAAACTATACATTATTAAACAAGAACATATCAACAATTATATCTTATTTCAATAAATACGAACTAGAATAGCAAAACATTAAAGTAGAATCGGTATTAACGCATCATTCTTCATCGATTCTGAGTTTAAAGGATGCTCATCGTGTAAAAGATTATGTAACAATACATCCAATAAGTAAATTTCCTTTTTAAATATTTCCTTAATAATTGAAAAAGGAAAAAAAAAGCATAATCTACAAATCTATAATGTGAACAGAAGCTTGGACTTTTCAAAAAATTTATATATATATAAATAGATATATATATATGTCTAAGAAAATCCAGTTTATTACAAAAGTTTATTACAAATCCATTTCTTGAATTTTATATAAGTTTTATAGATAATAATTTATATAAGTATTTATATAAATTTTCGTGTTCGAAGATATATGTCAACGTTTCTGTGATAGCTTTTTTATTTCGACCGCTATGTACATTCAATTTACTTCGCTATGCATATATTATGTATTATATCGCTTTATAAATGTACATATATTATTTCAGCTTCTTTTTCTTTTTCTCGAAAGTCGAACATTTCCGATAATACCCGATTTTTATCGAATCATGATACACATTACTTCGATTATAAATAACCTAATATTCGATATTTATAGATAAAAATTCGACAAAGTATAATTTCTTTTTATAATTTTTTTTATTAATTTTTTTTATTCATATACGTAGAGATATACACGCAAATATATGCATAGATCCTTCAAATTATTCATTTTATTAATTACTCATTAATTCACGCGTAATATAGAAACAAAAATGATTTACGTACGCGTGATACATACGTATATATATTTTATGTTTCTATATCTTTAAAAAATGTAATTATTTCATTAGAAAATTGTTGTCTATATTTAAAATTCGAATTAATTACGTGTGACATACTTTTTACATTCCTATATATTTATATTATATATTTTAATTATTTTTAATTGAAGAAATTAATATTTGAATTGACTCACAATGTACATACCCGCGATTTTGCTTCCTTACTGGTGGTCTCTTTGCCGTCTTGGGCGAGATAACAAGTGTAAACGGTGTTTCGTCGTTCGGCATAATTACAGGTAATTAGCATATATTTTCTAACGTATACCCTCTTTCAATATGTCAATGGATAGCTCAAAGCATAATTCTTAAGAGGCCGCGTTCGCAAGTCGGCACGTCGTTACGTTCGAAAGGTATTCTCGAGAATGAAATCGACCTCTCATAGATCATCTCAAGGAACTATTATGTTGTGTGTTTTCTTTTATTTCCTAGCTTTATTTTCATAACATCGTTAGTCCTCTCGCTTTTAAATTACATCCTAATCAATAATTTTGTGTTTATATTGTTATCGATCGATATCTTTTATTACATTCAATTTTCATATATACTCATATATGTACACACACATATACATACACATATCTATTCCATATACGCTTATCTATACGTATATACACTTTTCATCTTATCCTATTTAATATGATCTCATATTTTTCAGATTTCCAAGAATTCTATGAGCTATAATAACACGCCTGTTTTGTATGCGTACTTTTTCTTCGTATACGTACAGGTATGTTTATCTTTTTTTATTAATATAGCGCGAGGCTTAATAGAGAGAGATAGGTAATATAGGTACACGCAGTATATGAATATATTTCCAGGAAGTTCTCCAGTCAAAAGCAAAACAAAAACAATCGAGCGATTGAACTCTCTCAAGGATTGGAAAGAGATCTTCATTCTTTTATAGTATTTCAGCGAGTACAAACCTACGAAAACTTTGATTAATATCGATTTAATTACGTATTTTATTAGCGAACATTTTCATTCTAATTTTATCACAATTAATTTAATATTATAAGAAATTTATTATTACAGAAAATAGTATAAAAATATGTATAATCTTTAGGTTATCCATCATCGAATTTACTTCTCTTTAGTTATTGTTTTATTTTAGAAAATTTATTTGATTTTTATTAATAATCGAGTTTCCGTAAGCAATTATCTTCAAATGATAAGAACGTGGGTAATTTTTCAGATATTTGATGAGTAAATTGATATTGATAAAAAATAATATAAAGTTAAAGCGGAGCTATACTAAATAATATAATTATATACAATTAATTCTGAATAATTTCATATTATACATTATTTACAAAATTCGTAAAGTATATTAGTAAATGCTTATTTTTTTTTTTTAATTTCCTAATTGCATATTAATTTATAAGAGTATAATTATGATGCTTGATGCATAATACATGTTGGAATTTTAATTCTTTATTTTTTACGCTTCTAATTCTATGCTTAACTTATTTTTAAGATTAGTTTAAAAACGAAAGTACAAATTGGTCAATTATCTACTATCTAATAATTAAGATAATTAAAATATATATTGGATATATATTGGGTTTATATACTGGAACGTATATTTGGGTTTATATATTGGATATATTGGATGAATTGATAAATTAGTGCCATTAGTTATAAAACGTTAGTTATATATTTTCTTATGAATTAACACAATATTTTTTTCATATTTCCTATTACCCTATTTAACTTTTAAATGTCCATCTTTAGATTTATCGATAATATAATATCGTATGTTAATGAAGGAATGATTATAACATACATATATGTACCTTGTAGGACGTACAAATTACGTCAATTCAATGTATAAAGATAATTTCGTAGAATTTTTTAAAGATATTTCTAAGATAATTAATAAAAAAGCTTTATCGGATAGGTTAGGGCAAAGTCGCCATTGATGAATCCTCGATCGACTATGACCGGCTCGAAAGTTGGTTCATTAAATGTCATTAATTTATATGTTATTTTAGCTTGTGGATCTCCACATACATAGTAATCTCCATGTAGTAAGAATTAAATAGACATTATTATTTTCGCTATAAAATATATCTCGTGTATCATTTTTTCTATGGTATGCGTTCTATCGCGAATAATGTCATCAAACTAAATGACTGCTTAAACAGAATAATTTAATTACAGGAATTGTTTATTATATTTGCGAATATTCAAGTATTAATTCATTTTATTCAATAAAAAGTTAGATAATTAAATTTAGATAATAAATCAATGATTTTATAAGTAATAGGAACGAAAGAGAAATGGATCTTGCATTCAAGATCATCTATAAGTAGATTTCATTATAAACTATTATTGATTTAAATAAATATTTATATATACGATAATAATAAGAAATATTCTAGTTATATAGCATTATAAAAGTAATTTTGCATTTGAATTTTCTCTTGAATGTAATTTTTGAATTTAACGTTAGATAATTCGTTTATTTACAATATCATCATCGTATATTCTGTTCATGTTACATATTGTGACGTTTGTTGTTCCCAAGTTTAAATTTCTATCGGATTATAATAATTATTTCATTAATACTTATGATTAAAAATTACAATTGTAAAATAAATAGGAAAATAAAAAGATACAGATATTAAAATCAAAATGTTGACCATGAAACATTTCCGGATTTAATAAGTTCGAGATTTCAATTTATCGAATTATTAAATTAAAATTGTTTTATATTTTTAACATATGTTACGAAGTATGTAATGTTTAAACAAATAAATTATTGTTTAAATATTAATTTATTATACTTCATATACATTATATATTGTTTAAATAATTATAAAAAAAAATGATATAAATTAAGGGAACTGAGATTTGTGTATTGGTCGAAATACGAAAGATAACCTATTCGACAATTGTCAAAATCATATGAGAGAACTCGGGCGGAAATTTGTTTTGGACGCATTAAATATATATAACGTTATGATAAATTAATATTTTTTAATGTTTTAATAATATACAATTTTGATAATATCATTATTATTAAATATGAGGTTCTGTTTATAACGTCAATTAGATATAATTATATACTCAACAGATTATTCTTACTTCTCCAGAAAGTGATTTTAATAAGAGCTGTATATTTACGATGTTAACCATATTGTCTAAATGAATATGTTATGAAAAATGTTTATTTGAATTATTAAAAAAATTACGTGTATTACGAACTCGGTCGATAAATAGTAACATAATCACAAGTTCTTACAAGATACTAAAACGAAGCAAATATATATTATTGTGATAACATAGTTTATCTACATTCTTCACTTATTTATCTAAATAATTAAAAATGGTAGAAAAAAGATGTGCCGCCAAAATGTGTTTTAATAGTACACGGGATGTACCTCAAATACAGTTCTTCACATTTCCTACAAAACAAGAATAGTAAGCTTATTACCTAACCTCTTAATTCAATGACATTACTTTTCTCTTATTTTATTTTTATATATATATATTACAATGAAATCGTATATTGAATAGTGCTCGCGTTTGGGCAGAAGCATGTGGTATACCAGAATTAATTCATAAAAATAAGTCTTCTCTTAAGAGATATGTACTCTGTGGTGAACATTTTGAAGATCATTGGTTTATGGATCCTGAATGTAAGACTGCATTTATTAAAACTGAAGTACCTATACCCACAATATTTAAGAATAATTTGAAAGAATGTATATCACGGCAAACTAATGCTTCAATTGACACAAATATTTCGAAAAAAGAAAATCCTATGACAAGTTTAAAGGATAATGTTACAAATATTGCAGAAGAAATTAAACAGTCGAATATAAATCTGTCAGTGGAAGATAACAAATCTTTATGTCCTGTGTCACTGGTATATAAAAACAATCGTATAGAAATATTACAAAGAAATATTACAAATCAATAGAAATATTACTCTAATAATGTTTTAAGTTTAATTCAATATTGTTTATACATTGTAGATAAATGATATTGTGAATAATGTTGAAGATAGCACAATATCTATAGCCACAGAATCACAGAATGACAATACTCTACAAGAAGAAGTAGAAGAATTATGTCGCCTTTGTGCATTGCCTACATCAAGTAATATGCTTCGTTCTATTTATGATGATAATATAGATAATAAAATTAATACAATTTTACCACTTCAAGTAAGCAAATGCAAGATCATTTGTTTGTAGAATTTTATTTATGTACCAAGATATTTTTGGATACTTCAAACTTAATATTTTTTTAGTTAGAAGTACATAAATATGATGGTTTACCTCAAGAGATTTGTCACTTATGCGCACATAAAGTCACATTATGTTATGATCTTATCCAACAATTTCTCGATGCAAATTCTAAGTTATTAATGCATAGAAATGAAAAAGAAGAGGTTGAACAAGCTGAAGATAACTTATTTTCAGCTACACTATCTGAAGGATCGCTGGTAATAATAATAATAAAAGAAAGAATTAAAAAACAAAAATTTTGGATTTTCTAAAAATATTATAATTTAATCCTAACTCTTAGTTTTCAGGAGCAGGACCTATACGTGATAATGCTCATTCAGATCATGATAATTATCAAAATTTAGAAAAAAGTTATCATGCATATGCTCCAACACACAAAAATAAATCCGATATTAAAGATGAAAGAGAAGTTAAAAATAATTCTGCACATTATACAGAGTAACATTTTTAACAATATTTTTTAATAATATTTTTAGAATTATTTTATATTATTATATTATAATATTATGTTATAATTTTTTTAGGCATTCATACAATTTACCTCTGAAAAATATTCCTGAAAGGACAAATATGTTACATCAATTAGATGAAATAAAGATTGAAAATAAAAATAAATACTTAAATATTGATAATTCATCAAATGATATACATCATAATATTATTAAGAAAAAAATAGATAATAAAATTAAGTATAGTTGCAAAACTTGTAATAAAATGTATAATACCAATTCTGAATTATGTAGACATAATGAAACACATAGAGAAGAGAACAAATTTTATTGTGCACATTGTCCAAAAAGTTTTCGTGTCAAATCATTATTAAAGCAACACATGTGTTCACACTCTGGCATTAGACCATATGTTTGTGATATATGTGGGGCAAGTTATAATAGACGTGGAAATATGGGTCAACATAGAAAAACACACTTTGTTATTGAAAATGGAGAGCCACGTTTAGTCAAAGAAGGTATCAGATGTAGTATTTGTAGAAAAAAAGTAAAATCTCTTCTTATGTTGAAATATCATCTTGCAAAACACAGTGGTGAAAAGAAAGCGTATGTGTGTACTGTCTGTGGAAAATGTTTTAGTACAGGAAGTCAATTAAAGGTACATCAATTTCTTCATACTGGAGAAAGACCATATACGTGCTCTGTATGTGGCAAAGGTTTTCGAACAGAAGCAATCATGAAGCAGCATTATTTGGCTCTTCATACAAATGACTATCCACATGAATGTCCATTTTGTGACAGGAAATTTAAGCGTCTACAATCATTAATTGTACATAAAAGGACTCATACTGGAGAGCGGCCTTATCCCTGTCCAATATGTGGTCGTGCATTTGCTCAAAAAGGAGATATGATGAAACATACGAAAATTCATAATCCAAATGCAGATAATAAACGCGTTAAAAATGAGAATAGTTATCTTGAAATGCAAGTTATTGAAGATAACAAAATTCAAATTGGATCATCAATATCAGAAGAAATAACGATATTTGAGATAGAAGATGATGGACTGTCGAATGAGTTTAATCAAGCAAATTTAAACAAGTAGCAATACTCCTGGTAATGTAGTATTCATTAGATTTAATAAATGAACGTGTATATTAGAATAAATGAAGAGATGAAATCCTGATGACATATTCTTTCATCTATCATTTAATCTAATTTCATATGAAATTAAAAAAAAATCTCTAATTCAATATAATTATTAAAAATGTATAATAATGTAATATTAATTATATATAATATATCTCTCATATATTCTTTCTTATGTATAGAATATTTAATTTCATATTAAATCTTTTTTCTAAATAACGCGTTATTAAAAAAAAAATAAAAAAAAAGAAAACAAAATAATCATCTTACTATTTTATAGAAAATTTCGTTATATAACAATTTTTAAATATTTTCTGAAGTCTTTTCTCTCGAATTCAGATTATTTCGGAAAATTCGTTTATTATAATTTACATTATTATTTATTTGTGTACATTGGTACATTATTACAATTTGTATAAAATTATATGAATATTTGAAAAAAAAAAAACAAAAAGAAAAAGAAAGAAAGAAAGAAAACATAAAAATGTGCTTTTTAATGATAATCCATTAAAATTTTCATAATCAATTCCATATATATCATATGTCACACATGATTTAAATATAAATAACAAAATTCTATTACTGTCACGATCAAAATCTATATACAAAATGCATAGGTCTTGGGATATTGAAAAAATGGATATCACGGAAATTTGGTATGCTAAAATAACAGAATACAATATTTGACAAAGGATCAAGATATCTCTTTAATACTAATGAGAATAATATATAATGTTTTAATATTGAATATAGTAATATAATGTAAATTGTACAACCATCCTAATATATATTTATATGATAAGGCTTATGTCACATGAAACGGCGATTATATCTTTTAAAAAAGAAATTACGTTTACTAATTCTAAAACTGCTTGTATATAAGTATGATTGAAATACAATATATCAATCTCTCATTAAACTTACTTCTAAATATAATTAATTATTGGTGGTAAATACTATTCATATAGTATACTAGTTCTTTTTTCTTTTTATAAATTTAGAATCGTTTACCCCACGTACGTAGTAGGAAAACTTTTGGAATGACTCTTTTTTTCTTTTCTTTTTTTTTTTTTTTTTTTTTGTATTTGATCGTATCATTTATAATTGATTTTTCAATGATTGAGTCATTTATAACGGACGCATAAGAATACATATATACAATTCACATATAACAAAAAGCGAAGTATATATTATAAAATGAAATATCTTGAGTTCATTCCTTTATTATAATTAATTTCTGATAAGAAATAAATTAACATAATGATGTTCTCGATTTTGTACAAGAGCAAAAGATATAAAATTAATTAAAATTTATACAAATAGTATCTGAAAAATAAAATGAAAAAGTAGGAGAAAATAAATAAAACAAAACGTTAAACTTCTACTTGCAAAATTCATTTATTTTGCTCTACCAATGCAGTCAGAATTTCGAGAGAACAAAATTTTATTGATTCGTCCTGTACAGTGTACATCTCTTTGGGATTTTTTTAATAATATTCAATAAATGTTATATATATATAAAGTCCAATGAATCTTTCTTAAATTTGATGCACAGTTTTTTCGCCCTCGTCATGTCATGGATAAATATGTTTATCGGAACACTGAAATGGTAATAGTAACTACAACCGTCTTGTAACAAAAAGAATGTAATAATCTGTTGAAGCAAGGTAATACGATTTGCATTTTATTTTCGCAAGAATCTCTCTATCCCTCTCTCTTTCTCTCTCTCTCTTTCTTTCTGTTTTTTTCTTGTGAAAAAATCTTTATCTATGACAATCGGGTAAAATGTGTATCGAGTAAGTCCTTACGTTCTCTCCTACGATTACATCCATGTATTACATAATAAAGTATTAGCCAATGAGAATTAAAAATAATAGTTACTAAATAATACAAAATTATTATCATTATCATTATCATTATTATTATTATTATTATTATTATTATTATTATTATTATTATTATTTTATTATTATTATTATTATTATTATTATTATTATTATTATTATTATTATTATTATTATTATTATTATTTATCATAAGCATTCTTATATCTTCGGTGGTTTTAAAACGATTTATTTTATAATTATGTATATTTTCCCCCCAAAAATTGATGAGAGATAGATCTTACGGATTATTGGACGAAAGTGCAGTTGTCAGGTTCATGAACCTATACATAAATCTTTCATCTCAAATCTTATCTCTCTTTTGTGCAATTACGAAACTGCCAAGTGCACACATTGAAATTTATAGAAGAGAGAATTAATAAACTCTTCAAAATAATTAAGAGACGAACGTAGAACGACGACGAGCACGTTTCAAAAGGGGACGCGCATAACGTCACAAAGACGCAGAATACATAATTTGGCGGTAAATTCAAACGACAAATAATAAATAACGGCAGTGTGTAATGCCGATCGCACCTTTTTTGTTTATCTTTTCTTTTTTTTTTCTTTTTTTCTATTTTTTTTTTCCCCTCACAGATTACATCTTTCTCTTTCCTGATGATATTATTAAACAATGCATTACTAACCAAAAGAATAATTCTCAAATTACGCTTAATGACATTGCGACTTCAATCTTATAACGTACGTATAAAAAAAAAAGAAAAAAAAAGAAAAAAAAAAGAAAAAAAAATAGTAAATGAACATTCAAATTTATCTGGCTTGATACTTTTCAAACTTATTCTTTGAACTTAAAAAACACATCATTTATTTGTAGAATATTAGTAGGAAACAGTCTGACACACATTTCAAGTGAAATATTCGATACAGTTAAATAATCAGCTTAATATTATTGAAATTTCGTAGGGAGATGTTGCAACATGCTCCGTGATAATCCGACCATTGACGCAATATTAATATGGATGATATGGGTGATGATTTTAGGCGATGTCGTGAAAGTCAGTCAAGAGAAACTCAGAGCACGTTATAGTATCTCCCTCATAAGTATTTTTTTAAGAATGGCAGTAAAGCGGTTGATACAATTAACGACAGTTTAATTAATCGATCGGCATCGACTTATGACGAAATTGAAATAATTGTCTTATATCAAAAAGAATACGTGTACACTGTTTGAAACATAATTATCCACTAAAATATAGGATCAAAATATATCACCACATGGCTTCTTTATCGATTAAAATAACATTGGAATTTAGTCTGGAATATTAGAAAACATGCAGTTGACGTATATAATAAATTCCATCCTTGATTTTTTTTTTCAACACTCAATCTATCGATCCTTACATCTACGATTTCCACCATGGTATATTTCCCATAGATCTTCGTCGATATTATATTTTAATGGTTTTCTTTAACACATTAGGTGTTTGTGTTGTTCAAGGATCGTTAATACAAATATACAATCATAATACCAAAAATTCACATTACACGTTTTATAAGAAATATTCCTATTAAAAACTTCTGACGTGATTGAGAATGAATGACGATTGGAATGATTTAAATTGAAATGTGATTATCTTTTTGTATTATTGCCTCGATTAAATCTTGGTCTCTTGGCCCAACGAAAAGAATTTTTCAGATTTGCCTTCTTTTTTTCTTGTCTTCTCATCGACATTTTGTTTGGTTTCTTTTCTTTTTTTTCTTTTTCTTTTTTCGAGTTTCTTATATATCCAATGGTAGTTGTAGTAATCATTTAGAATATTTAACCATCGCGGCAAAGATATCTGATAAATAAAATATGCATGGTTTGTATCATCGAATAACCAGGGCGTAAACAGAGTTCGTTCGTTTATAAATTTTAACAGGCAAGATCATTCATATTTCTTAAAATTCCTATAAACGAACGAGGAGAGCATTCATTTGTTGTGTAGTTCCGCAATAAATATTCTGACTATAATGTTCACTTACACATATGTAATACGCATGAAAACAAATCGACTTCCACATCATGCTCTCAATGTCACAATGTTTTCTTTTTTTACAGATCATTAGAAAATTCCCTATCGTAGTCGCCGGCAAGATATAAATGAAAGAATTATATTTATGTATACATATACATACATACATACATACATACATACATACATATATATATATATATATGTGTGTATATATAAAAAGGACACAAAAATGTTGACTCCTTACAGCCTATGCTCTTTTCAATTCTCACAGTGACTTGAATCGGACATATTGTTATATTTAATCTCGATAACATTAATATAGTCATAATAATAATAATAATTAAAAAAAAAATCATAATCATAATAGTTAGAATATTACCACTACTATTACTACCAATAATAATAATAATCATACTCATAATAATAATAATAATAGTAATAATAGTTACAATATTACAACTACTAATAATATAATAATAATAATAGTAATATAGTTTTCCAATATGGATAGTCGTTTTTGGAGGCAGTCTTCATATACGGGTAATGAATCGATTTGTCTCCTATGTCTATTAATATCGTTAAATCACAGTCAATTTTGTGAAAACTGGATAAACTGGATAAATAAATGAATAAATGAAGAATTTGCCTAATCATGAAAATCAACTGGATCTTGTTAGACATGAATCTCTTTTGTTGTATGCACGAAACACGTGCGTGTTTTTTAAACGTTTGAAAATGTAATGATTTTTTTTTCTTTCTTTTTTTTTCCATAGAAATAGAGAATACCCATGACTGGACAGATATGTTCATCTTCGAATTGAATGACTTTCCAGGGCCATTTAATCAGTCATCGTTGTATAGTCATATAATAAGTGATGCTATTTACAACTGTATGAATAGTGTTAGTTTACTGAACGTCATTATATGTGTATCAGTATGTCAGCATATAATCATTAAATAGAAAATTGTTTTATTTAGTGGAATGAAGTAATTGACGCATCCAGCACTTTAGTAAATTAAAATCGTAGTCTTAAGTCGTGTATACGTATATTTTTCTTATTAATATACTTAAGTCCAAGGGCAAGCTGAGAGTCAGTCTTCTTCTAAAAAAAAAAAAAAAGAAAATATAAAAAATAAACTAAAATAAAATAAAAAAATGTTTTCATTAGGTTCAATAATTTCTTGCTTTACAAGATCTTTTCTTAGAATGTAGTTTAATCATGAATTAGAGTAGAGATTTGATTGGAGTCACAGATGTAAGAGCAATCGATTTACAAAAAAAAAAAAAAAAAAAAAAAAAAAAAAAGAAAAAAAATGAAAATAGAAAAAACCCTCTAACAATACCGGCGAATTTCTAATGAAAATTACTTTTCTTCAAAAAATATTTTTGATATGTTTATGGATATTATAATAAGTTTTCGTTCAAAGATAGAAAAGAAAAAAAAAAAATTGGAAATATGTAATAAAATGTTGCACATAAAATCTATCGCAAGTTACAGCTTGTCCATGTGCAGTCTAAATTTATGATTCAAAGTTCACTGTGTTTTTCATTTTGCAGGATTAAGTACATTGTATGCAAGAAATATATTGCATTGTTATATAATCTAAAGCCAGCGACTGTTCGAGGTATTACCAATTCAGTCTTACAATGATTCTTAATCCAAATGTTATAGTGATTGCAGTAAAAAAAAAAAAAACATTAACCAGATATTTCAACATTACATTCATTCATTAATCACTGGAAAATATTCTGAAGTGACGAATTCATTCATTTGGCACAGAATACATATTACAGTACATTCCAACTATCGTGAAATATCTTATTCTATGAGCTGCGTGTCATGACATTTTGTTTAGGCAAAAAAAAAAAAATATATATATATATATAAAATATATAATATATATATATAAAGAGAAGATTGAATGTGTGTCATAATTTGTTAAAAAATAAAACAAAGTAGTCATAAACCAAATACAATGGATTGCATATTCGATTACCTTTAGGCCGCTTGAAACAAAACAGTTGAATACATAAAATACTACAAATAAATAATGAAAATAATTAGTTTTACATCCATATGGATACCAATATTACAAATATATTATATGAATCATATTCTGAAATAAAGTAATTAAATGTTTAAATTATTCTGTTTTTGAACATTTATAGATTATAATAAAAAGAATAAATCAATATATTTGAAAGATAATCGAATTTGAAATGCACTGTAAGACTTCACATTTTTTTCTTGCTCCACTTATCAAAGAAATGATGTTTCTATGACTTCTATTCTTAAATTAACATCTTATATTTTAAACATCATACGATTTATGTAAGATGTAGGGAGCCAACTTTTCAGTTTATACCTGCAGATAAGTACTGGGAAATGGGGTTATGTATGGACTTCTTAAAATGTGTAAGAACAAGATTAAGAGGTCGCTGCTACAACTACAGGGGGAACAACGTCAGGTTCACCTGCACCATCTGCTACAGCAGAATCAACGACTTTTTTTACTTTTATAGATTCTGCACTAGTATCTGTAGAACTCTCAGGCTCACCATTTTGTGCAGGTGTTTCCTCACTGCTTGTTAAAACGAGTTGTTCGCTTGAAGATGCCTCATTTAGTCCATTTCTGTGTAAATTTTCATCCGACACTGGCACATCGTCTCCATTTTGTGTTGTTCCATTTAATTTTTTCTTGTCAGATTCCACTGTACTTTTATCTTTCACTTCATCCGACACAGTTTCTTCTTTCACTGATTCTTTGCTCGATTCTTGTTCTATCGATTCAGCACTTTCAGTATGTTTTTCGACCTTAGGTAAAGATGGTTTTATTTCTACATTTTCCTTTTCCGATTGTGCTTTCTTTGATTCTTCTTCAATTTTTTCAGACTTTGTTTCAACTTCTGTACTTTTCTCTGATGTAACGTTATTTTCTTGATCTTTTAAATCATTTTTAGTATCTTTAAGTTCTGTCTCTGTTGACACAGCAGGTTTATCTGTGTCTATTTTTGCAATATTATCGCCATTTTTAGTTGCATCAGGTAAAGGTGCATTTTCTATCTTTGTAGATACCTGTGTTGTTTTTGTTACTGTTTCCTCTGTTTCTGAATTATTTTTTTCTGTTGTACTAGAACTAGTAACTGCTTTATTTGTTGATACCTCTACTTTCGTTTCATTTTTTTCTTCACTTGTACTTTCTACAGATTTCTCAGATACATTTTCATCCCTAATTTTATCATCCTTTACAACTTTGACAGTTTCATTTTGAAGTATAATCTCAGATTTTGTATCTTTTGTATCTTCTGTTGGTTTTGATATAGGCTCATTCCTTGCTACATCCATGGTATCATCTTCCACTGAAGTAACTCCAACTTTTGTTGGAGTTTCTGGTTGTTTAGCTATAGATGCCTCTTTTTCATCAGGTTTTACATTTGTTACTGTTTCTATATCTTTTATATCTTTTGTAGATTCATCTTTTTTAGATGAAATTTGATCTTTTTCTTCTGCCTGAGCTTTTATCTCTTGTTCAGGCTGAGGACTCTTAGTTATTTCTGTTTTTTCATTTTTTTTTCCACTAGCATCAGACATTTCTACATCCTCAGAAGTATCCATTGGCTCACCGCTCTTTGGATTAACAGATTCATTTTTTTCTTCTGGTTCCGTAGGATTTAATTTTTGACGCTTTGTTGATGTTTGAAATGTTAAATCTAGGAGAGACTTAATAGTCATGTATGCAACTGTTTCTTCATCTGTCAAGGTAGCATTACCTTCGCGTATAACTATAACAGATAATAGACCTGCTTCTTTAGCAGCTGCAGCTTCCCGTACTATATCCGTAAGAAAAATTACGTTATCAGGTTTTTCTCCAATTTTGCTTAAAATATTCTTGTAACTGTCACACTCTTGTTTAGCTCCTATTTCTGTGTCAAAAAATCCACTAAAATACTTGAGTAGATCGCCCTGTTCAGAGTTGCCGAAAAGCAATTTCTGTGCTTCGACGCTTCCACTTGAATAAACATATATTTTTTTTCCATCATTCATCCATGATTCCAATGCTTTAGGAACATCTTCGTAAACACTATACAAAAATTATATTAAGATCACCACAGTATGAATAGCAATTATAAAATATTTAAAAAGGAAAAAAGAACTTACTGTCCTTTGATTGCTGTTGTTTTATAAGCTTCTTGCCACATGTGCCCTTGCAATTGCTTAAGCGCACCTGTTTTACGATCATTATCCATTTGCCAGAGGATATTTTTCATAAGTGATTCTTTTTCTTCTTCCGGATTACTATCAGTAATCGGTATAAAACCTTCAACTTTATCTTCTTCATCTTTCTTTGCCTAAAATAAAAATTATATTAAAGTTTGTTTTAGATGTGGAAACGTTATGCTATAATTCGACGAAAGTCATTTTTTTAATAAAATGTGAAAACATATAGACTAATTTGTTTTCATTAAAAATAATACTAGCTAGAAAATATAATACTATTCTTTATATATTTGTTAGTTTTTAATTATTATTCTTTATATATAATTTTTTTAAAATTAAATTACAAAAACAGCTTCATATTAAGCATTGTTACTATCCAAACTTAATTATTGATGCTAACCTAACAGGATTCAAAATGCTTGTTATTATAAATGCTTATATTTATTGTTATTATAAATGCTTGTTGTTACTTATATTTTTTACAAATTATTAAAAAAGAATATATTAAAACATCATTATTATATTTATTATTAATTTTCTAATATATTTTAAATCATATTATTATGCAAATAATAATACTATAAAAGTGTTCAATTTTTAATTAATATAAATAAAGAATATTAAAAATTAAAAAACTGATATATATGTACATACATACATGCATACATACATACATACATACATACATATATATATATATATATATATCTTTACTAAATAAAATATTTTAATATATGAAATATCAAAGGTAGACAAATTCTAGGACAAAGAGTTATCTTCAGGTCAGACCATACTGGTGTAACAGCTGCCTCTGCCCTATCATCCTATTGGCTGCTTGTAAAGCCCTTTACAAAAACTGCTAATAAAGACTGTTATACAGAATCTATATTGTTTATGATATATTTAAAATATATATATTTATATATCAAGTTGAATGTTATTTAATTTGGTTAAATTTACAATATCAATTGTTCTATCATGTGTTCCAATTATTATTTGTAATATTTACCTGTTCTTTTAATTTATGATAATCTTGTTTAAATTTATCATCGTCCCAATTCGTGTCAATGTATTTTTTTAAATTTTCTCTCACATAAGGAAATAAGGTATCCTGGAAGAGAAGCAATAAACTGTGTAAAAATTCTGTAAAAAACGCAAGAAAAATCATATTGTTTAAATATTCGTCGTTTCTTTCGATTCGAAATATTATCGTCATCGTCATAACGCGTTCTGGGAAGGAAAGCAAGAAAATCTATAGTACACTGCGCGATCTAGTGTATGTAAAAAAAAAAAGGAAGGAAAGAAAGAAAGAAAGAAAACAGCCATACCAAGAAATAATAATTTATGGTGTTCATTTGTATATATAATAAATATACAAACACATATAAGAAAACAAAAGAGATAACAAAAAAATTGTTTTCAAACATGAATATAAGATTTGCCGCGAAACTTGTTTAGAAATATCGATATGTCCTTTGGAAATCAAGGCGAGAAGAGAAGACGAGTAAAAACCGGAAAGTGGAGAGGAAAAAAAGGAGGTGAAGGCCCTACCGAAAATTCGAAATGAACGAAGAAAGACACGAAAGGAGATGGTTTAATTCGAAGCGCGAAAAACAATGATAATCAAAGTAATAAAGTATTCGGATCGATGATTGAGACGAAATTTCGAAAAAATTTCAGACTGCGATTTCTGAGAAGCGTGCAGGGAAAAGTTGAAGCTCCGTTGTTCGCTCGCCGGCATCGTACAACACTACCCTTCCTTCCAATGAACGACACGCGTGAGAAATATATGCCCGAGATATACGCGACAAAACGAAAAACGTGAAGAGTGGCTTTTTTTTCCTTTCGAATATCGAAAATATTATCGCGGAGTCGACAAAAACGATTCTTCTTTTTTTTCCCTTTTACCTCGAAAGGAAGAAATCGTAATAAAACAGTTAAGCGCGAGCATCGTAGGGCGCGTTCAAGAACGCCACGGCCATGGCCTTTGTTACCTTTACGAAGCTTATGCTCGTCGTCGTACCCTCGATGTCAACCAGGATCGTCGTTTGCGATAGCATACTCTCCTCTTGTTCCTGGCTACGCTTTTCCCCGGCCATTTCCACGATTTACTCGTTCTATTCCGACCGAAGGATAAATAATAAATATATCTATATGTAGTACGTATCAAGCCGTAGGACGTTGAAAGCACGGTGGTGTGTATGTACGTCTCTCCGACGCGTTCTTGTTGAAAGCCGGCGAATGAATTCGCTCTTGCCCCCCGCGCACTGGTGTGTGCGTGCGAACTCGTTTCTCCCTTCGTCCCTCGTCCAGTGCCGATCCCACGGTAACCAGGACCGTATCAATGATATTCCTCTTTACTCTAGTCTTTTACTACACACATAACGAATTTTACATTTTTTTTTTACCTGTATTCAAAAAATCTGCGAAAATTCATCTTTTCATAATCTTTCATTTTTTTTCTCGATCTTCTTATATTACTTTTTCTCGAGACAACCATATTTGGCATTTCCATTGGGTTGCCTATCTAAAGTGATTTGGCTTCAAAAATTCTTCTTCCTAACCTTACGAATTACTTTTTATCTACGTATTCGTGTATATTACTTATATGAGAGAATAATTTACTTGCTATTTTTACAATATATTGACATTTTGATACTTATTATATCGTACATAGTAGAAATAAACGGGGTTCAATTATTTTCTTTGAAAACATTTCTTTTGAAATTTGAGTGTGTAGAAATTTGTTGATACGATAGACCGTCATTATTTGTACGATACTCGTTTCATGCAATATTATGTCGGCGAATTTGTCGACGAAAAACGTGCTAACAGTTAAAATATAAAATCTGAATTCTTTTTTAGAGCGTTTGCGCATTTAGAATAAGAATTTTATTCGTGTAATTATTAATAGAATGGGGCTCCGATATTAGTTATTACAATCCTGTATTATGGACGAAAATTGCAAGCTGTGTTAGTATCCATACGTTCGATATACATTAGTATTCGCGTGTTCGTGTAAATCGCTGCTTCCTTCAGCCAATGAGCGTTCGTGCTTTACGGTGTCATGTTTGCATCCACAGCAACGATCCCTCCGCAAAATCTTTTCGATGCAATAACTTTTTTCCTGAAAGTACATTTGTAAGAAATCTTGAATATAACGGATTCCAAAATTCTTTAAGTTTTCGTTAAGAACATTCGAATGGTAAAAAGAAAAATGATTGTTCGAAAAAATAAAGATAAACGTAATGAACTACACGCATATGTTTCGATATCACTCCGCGTGAAAGTAGTTCCTGGACACTTTATTTTTATCAATTTTTCGAAATTTACGAATCCAAATAGATTTCTTCCGATTTGATTAAAATACCAAAAGATATTTATTTTAATTTTTTCTAAAATTAACATTTATTTTCAATAATCGGTTAATCATACTATCGATAGTATTAATAGGAAATTTTAAGGTGGTTGTATACAGCTGAGAGACGCAACCACCTGATTTTTGCATGGGGCGCGACGTTGCCTGCAAAGGCGGAACCATTTAAATTTTGACATTCGCCGGATCTACACGTGCACGCCAACCGTCATCTGTCAGTATAACCGGTAACAGCTTATTTCAAACCACGTGCATGTTACGCGGTTTAAGAAATTAATATTTATATACTCTATTTAAATCCTCGAACATAAATGCATATATGTATATATATATATATATATATATATATATATATATATATATATATTAGATATGCTTTCATTATATGATCATTTAAGTAATTATCATTGAATTGAGGATTTATTATATTTTTATAAAATGTGAATTATGTTAACATAGAATATTTTGTATGAACTATAGAAAAGAAAATTTCAATGTTTCTACAAACATATATTGAATGAATGAAAGAAATTTTATGGAATAGATTTAATAATTTCAATTTTATTTTTTAGTATTTGACGCAAAAGTAATACTTCCCTAGTATTATATTATTTATATAAGAATAATAAAAATTATTTAATAAATTTTAAATATAAATCACAATTAATTAATGTAAAATTATATATATTTATACAACTACATTTTATATCAAACACATCATTTATTTAACACATCATTATTACTATGATATTAGACATTTTGCAACTGCTTTAATTTTTCTCCTAGATGATTATTCAAATGAATTCTAATTTCTTGTTGATCATTACATTTTTCTCCACATTCGGGACATTCTAAATCACCTTTATCATGATGCTGTTTACGATGCTTTGATCGATAATTGTATGAAGCAAAATGTTCTCCACAATCCTGACATTGATAAGGTAATTCACCTGTATGCTTTCTTTGATGATGATCCCTCGAATCTTTACGTCTAAAACTCATATTGCAATATTCGCAAACAAATGGTTTTTTACCAGTATGTAGAAGAACATGATTGTACAGAGATTTAGTATCATTAAAACCTTTCTCACACTGTGCACATTTATATCGTTTTTCACCATTGTGTTTACTTCTTATATGATTTATTAAAAGTTGTTTTACTCTATAAGAGGTATTACAAATATCACATTGATATATAGGATCTACTTTACCCTCATGTATTCGTTCTTTGTGTGCCTTTAAGGACATTTGATGTTTAAATTTTTCGTGACACTCTTCACATTCATACCATGGTTTTTGTTCAATTAAAATTGGATCTTGATTACTAATTTCGTGGGTTTCTATCATATGATATTTTAACATTCTATATGTTGGAAAATCCTCCATACATATAGGGCATGTAAATACTTGTGGTAATAATATATTTTTATCATGTTTCCAATGTTTTTCTAAATGTTCATTCATATTTTGTTTCTTCCTAAATGACTTATTACAAATATTACAAATATAACGGTTATGAGAAAAATGTATCTTTCTATGAAGTCTTAAAGCATTTTTAGTTGTACATTTTTGTTCACACACATCACATTGAAAAGGTCTTTCACCGGTATGAGTACGATGATGCTCTCGTAGACGTGCTTTCAATTGAAACGACTTACCACATAATTCACAAACATAAGGTCTTGCACCCTTATGAACAAAGAGATAATGCTCATATAAAGAATTTTCTGCACTAAACTCTTTACCACAAGTACTGCAAATAAATTCTTTCATATTTTCATTGTGTCGCATTTCGTGAAATTCTAATCTTTCTTTACGTACGAAATGTTTAGGACATTTGGAACAATGATATTGACGGGGTGATATTACTTTTGCTTCATTTCCATCTACAACTAAAGAAAGAGTAGAATCTTCACAAGAAGAACAAGTAACCAAATCATTAATAGCATCTGGATCTAAATCAAAAATTAATTTTCCACATAAATTACAATTGGTGAATGTTTTTCCTTGTATTTTTACTGCAAGTTCTTTCTGTGTATTATCAATATCTAAGTCATTACCAATATCGACATTTATCTCCTGAATACCAGAATGTTTATGTTTCTTTTGATGTCCCTTTAATCTTGTATATTTTGAAAATAATTTATCACATTCCAAGCAAATAAAACGTTGTGAGTTTTTATGTGTATAATAATAATGATCCCACAATAAATTTTCATTACTTGCTTCTTTTTTACAAACAGTACATACATATTTATCCATACAATCAAATTTGTGTCTTTCCATATGAAATTCATATTTTGATTGTGAAAGATATCGAGCACCACATAAATTACATACAATTCTTGGACAAGATTTTATATTATCTTTGTCTTCTGTTTTAATATCCTCATTATTAATGATTCTTTCGTGCTTTTTATAGTTTTTTTCACAATTGAACCATACAATATTATCATAAGTAGATTCTAATTTTACTAATGTATTTGTATCCTTACAATTTACAAGTTCAGAATATGGCTCATAAATTACTTCTAATTTAGGAATCTTAACAGAATCTGAAGTTTCTTTATATTTTATATTTCTCTTAAATTTTCTTTTGACATCTTTCTGTGTCCTATTTAAGGAATTTTCCTTACCAATCATATTATATGTCAATGTATTTTTACGATTAATCTCTTTTATTTCAATACTTTCTCCATTCATATTTGCTTTTAATTTGATACAGTTTTGTGGATTTACATTGTCTTGTTTTATATTAAGCGCTATTGGTTTTTCGAAGTTTTGAAGATTTTGCTCTTTTGTTGGGTGAGTTTTTTCAGTATGACCAACAATTGCTAGTGAAATTTGAAAACTATAATCACAGTTTTGTGGATTACTAACTAATAATATCATTAAATCGACATTACAATTTGGACATGTGCATACTGTATCATTACAAATCTTAGCAAATATATCTGTTTGTTCTTTTTCATTTCTTGTAAACTCATGAAAACAATTACTTTTTCCGTTATCTAATTCTCTTTCATATTTTAAAACTTCTTGAATGAACTTATGATAAAGAATAACTTTGTCATGACAGGATATACATACAAATTTAGACCCATCATCCAATGGAGATATCTATAAAAAAAAAAATAATGATTTTTCAATATCTATACAAGTACATTTAAATTTAATTAGAATTAAAGAATATTTCATGGAAAAATATAAATAAAAGCATACATTTACATACATTAATTGGTAATGTGTCTATTATTTTTTGTTTTAGATCTGTCGAATCTTCAAATATATTTTTAAGCCTTCCGTTTTGAAGGTTTATACCACATAAACGACACAATAACATAATTATGGCTGATCAGCCGCCACATACTCTTTAAGAAATCTGTATCAATAATGCTATAAGACCAATAAATCTATGATTGTGGTATATATTTTTAAAGCCAAATCACAGATATTCTACCACGTATACATCTGTAAAATAAATTTATTCAAATCTGCTATACTTACATAAAAATATTTTTATATATGCTTATTATATTCTTGAAGATTGGTTGAAGATTGGATTTATCCTATATAAAAATAAAGAATTATACGATTTAATTCTTTCAGTTTAGACATTTATTATATATTTCATGTAAAATTGTAACTTATCATATTAAAACATCTTACATATCAATTAGAAATTAAAAATGATTAATTATAGAAACTTTGGGTTTAATCTGTAATCAAATTCCAAATTTTTTGACACGCATATAGGGACGTCAAATATAATATATATATATACATCTATATATATATATATATATATTATATATATATGCAAGAAACTTATGTATTACTAAGAGTCTCATTCTTATATATCGTTATAACGATTGGTCCATTCTTTTTGAAAATAAACCAATGAAAAGTAAGGCTATGCAGACGATACGTGATAATTCTTTTTAAAAGTTTTCTATGAATGAAAAATAATTAATATCGGAATATGTAATATTATAAGTATTGGATATAAATGTTATATTTTTTAAGTAAAACAACTGAAGAATGAAATTAAAATCGTGTGGAAAAAATATATGAATTAAAGTATGTTAAAGGTCACTTCATTACTACGCAAGCGTAGACAAATCTGCTTGTGACCGATATCTTTTACGCAACAGACAGTCCTGACCAAGGGTGGATAGTTTTTGTCAAAAACTATCTAGTTAAGTTTAAATAATTTCGTAAAAAAATGTTACGTCTCGTGGTAGGACGCATTGGATCCTCTCTAAGAAATATTACGATACCTCGTACTACGATTGTTGGTACTCAGTCTTATAGAAATTCGCACGGTTCTACTGAATCTGATGAAGAATTCGATGCACGATATGAAAGTTTTTTCAATCGTCCGGATATCGATGGCTGGGAGGCTCGAAAGGCAATGAACGATTTAGCTGGTAAAGATTTAACATTTACATTTTATCTTCACATTGTTATTACAAATATTATTAATTAAAATTTTCAGAAAATCTAAGTATTTCGCATTTAACGTATAATTTGTATTATATAGTTAAGCTCTATAGTTTATTAATATGTAATACATTCTATATTTCGTTATATATATATATATATATATATATATATATATATATATATATATATATATATATCTTATTATGCCTGTAATTTCTTGATTACAAGTCATAGAATAACATTAATACTCATTGATATAACAAGCATGCGTTATATTTACAATTTTTCTACCATAACATAATTAAAACATAATTTTTATTTCATAAGAATGACAGTCGTTAAGAATATTGAGAATTTAACTGTGTTAAGATGTATCTAAGAGTTTTGTTATTTTTAAAAAATAAATGATTTATTGGTTATCATTTGCTGCTTACTATTAAGATTTCTTGTTTGTATATTTACTTTACTAGGTATGGATCTGGTTCCTGAACCCAGAATTATCTGTGCAGCACTAAGAGCTTGTAGACGAGTAAATGATTATGCACTGGCTATTAGATTCTTGGAATCTATTAAAGACAAATGCGGTCCGTATGTCAACACTATTTATCCATATATTCTTCAAGAGATAAGGCCTACCTTAGATGAATTGGGTATCAATACTCCAGAAGAATTAGGATATGACAAACCAGAATTAGCCCTTGTAGCCCCATATGAAATGTAAATAAAAATGTATTAATTTCCATTTTAGTATTTATACATGAAAGTGCATCTTTATCAAGCTTGTTGTTCACAAAAAGTTGAACTGTATTGAATAAAATGTACTTTCAATAGATCTATTTATAAAAGTGTTTCTTAATTCAATAAAAAATTTTTGATCATTATGCATTTTTCTAATTATTAATCAATCAATCTGTGCTTTATAGTTCTATTAATAAAATAATATGTAAGAATTGTAAACAAGGGTCAGTGCAAATTTAAGTAATGTGGGAAACATAATGAAATGATATGTGTGCTATATTTGAACTGTTTTTCCATTGGTTCTTTATGTCATGTTTAAAATGGTAATGGACTCAATTTACTTTTTTTACACTGAACTTAAACAAAGAAAAATGACACAATCACGACATATTTACAAATTACATTATAGGATACACAGCAGTAAAGTCATATACATATACGTCTATAATCATCTAATGTGTAATATACGTTCTTCTTAGATGATATAGAACTTAATTTATGTTGGGTATGTTCTTTCATGAACAAAAATGTAGAATACAACATGATCTTACCTATACATGTTTATATATTACATCACGTTTTCAATGGCCATGATTTTACAAAACAATGCAACAATTAATATCTAATCAATATAATCTGCACTAGTAATAGTTGTTATTAAATTTAAATATTTTTGTCTATAATATTATAAAAACTTTTGGTATTGTTATGCCTAGTTCCAAAGGCAGCTTGTTGTTTCAATGTTACGACTTATTTTCCAACATGTATGTTACAAGGATGAAAAACTACTACAAATCTACAGGAACTTCGTGTATGGTAAAAATGTATTATCAATAATAAATATTGAACAAGTGTAGAAAGAAAATCTAACTTAACATTACTAAATAAGAGATAAAAATTTAGTATCTAGAACAAAAGCCTTGGCATTTTCGTATTTATTGATATGATTAAAGTATATTAATAAATGTAAATAAATTATGTATAAATTGTTTTTTATTCGTTAGGGTGATTGCACAAATAAAAGTATTTCAGTTTATCAGATTTTCTTTTTTTTTCTTATACCGCAACATTGAAACAAAATTGCACAAAGTAAATACAGTTTATCTAGTATCAGATATAAAAGTGAATTGGCTCTTCACTGCTATCGAAGAATGGTTTCTGTAATATAAAATAGAAGTGACATGTTTTGATTACTTCAAAATGCAGTAAGAGCAATGTATTTTCTAATTTTTATGTAAGGTACTCCGTTTAAAATCGTGTATCTAGTACTGATTTCTTAAATATACTGAAAAAAATATTAGCACAATCGCCAGATAAAGTTTGCATTTGTTATATATCAGTTCTTAATCTAAAAACATAAATATAACATTATACTTTCGTAACAATTTCATGTTATGTTTTTTTATTATGTAAAAATAATAAAACCTTAAAAAATTAAAAAAGACCAAAAGTTAAATTCAGTATTAAATATTAAAGTATACAATCACACCTAAATCAAGTATATTGGATGTTAAATGCAAATATTTAACTTCTTGAGAAAAAAAATATCTTATCCTATTTGTACCCGTCAGAAATGCTTAATTTTTTTTACTGCTATAATGTGATCCTGTGTGTATGTATGTGTGTATATCTATACATATATATCTCTACAACCAAGCACAAATTTGGTTCATTCTTTCGTCATAAAAATATGTTACATGTCTTTTGGCCATAGCCAAATATTTTGAATCTGATTCAGAATATATATTTTTACACTAAATCAGATTGTTAATTTTTTTTTTAATTTGCAATATACTATGTTTTCACATGATTTTGAAATTATCATTTATGAAATATTATTTTCCAATATGCCCAAAAATAAATAAAAAAATGTAATTTTATCAATATATTAAAAGCTCCATTTTTTTTTAAATAGATTATAACACTGATGATGAGTTTAACATCAAAATATTATCTTAATGTTAAAAACTCATATATGTGCTTTTCATAAATAGTTGTCTACTTATTAAATTAATTTAACATAAAACATATAACTCTTTGGAATATCCATAAGAGTTTAGCCAGTTCTAACCAATTCTAGGACTAGATGAAAATATATTGTTATCGTACTTATTATTGGAAAATGTGTATTGCATTTTCCATATAACAAAGATCTCTCCTAAGGAGCAATTAATAAAATTTTTGAAGATACAGTTATTCTTTAAATAGTAGTACTTTCAAAAAGTCGTACTACTTTGGAGAAATAGAATTACAGGTAAATATTGTATAGGTCTATAATAAATTTTGAATACAAACTCTTAATTCATTGATTAACGCACCTGTCATTTACACACTCAAACACACTCATTATTTAGAAGAGCAGTTAGCGAATCTGCACTGCACAAGAATTCAAGACACAATTGTCTGCCTTAATATTTCAAATACAAATCCTTACAATTCTTTCACTTCTTTTTCTTACACTCTCATTACACGCCAATTTATTTTAATGGATTTAATAGAGCTTGTCTATTAATTATGCACAATGTTGCTTATTCTGGACTAGACACGGTTTGTTGTGGTTGACTATCTTCATCTTTCACTACGTCTGCTTGCATAGCTTTGGTAAGAACATTAGCGTCTTTTAACGATATCACTTGAAGAACTTGATGTTCTCCTGCTGCATTTATCATTGTCATAGGATGACCTTGAATTGTGACAGCTTCAATACTGGTTTCCCCATTTCCAGGTTCAACTTTAGGTACTTGAACCATCGGTGTTACGACTTGCATAGTACCATCACTTTGAATATTGGCCACCATAGTTTGATACATACTTGCAGACACTGGTACAGTGATTACTCCTGACACAGATACTGGATATCCTGTAACATAGACAAGACCGTCCTATGTTCTGCCTGTACTCAGGCATTTTCTGTAGAATAAACTGGATTATTGTCTTTTCCTTTATGTCTGTGTATGTATGTATAGATATACACAAATTTAATAATGTTTTTATATATAGTAATCACAATAATGGTAAACACTCACTCCTTTCTTAACAAGACATACCAGTTTACAATACAGTTATAACAGTGAATATATTATATAAATAACAGTGAACAAAATTAATAGGGTGTGCGAAAGAAAAGTATGTATACTTACTATGTTTTTTGGCACACCCTTTTAACGTCTATAGTATCAGGACATAATACACATAATGCATATCTATACGAAAAAGATAAGGCAGTAATAATGGCAGTAAATGTTTAAGCTTTTTGTAACAGAATTTAGTGATCTTAATGATAATATTATAATTTTGAGTATAATACCATTAATAATAAAGAATTATCACAAATGTATGCGAAGTAGAATTATAATACTTTTGTTTCAAGTAGCTTAAACACAAACTGTTAAATACAACAAATATAAAATAATAAAACATCAACAAAAAATGCTCTATGTACATCAATTTTATTGTATCTCCTTTCTTTAAATTAATGAAAATAATCTTCTGTAATAATGATGTGCAATGATCATAAAACAAAGGGTGGGTTTTGTCATGATTATGATCATAATTTTTCTTTATTTATTTTTACTGCACTAATTTTAAGAATCCATGTAATAATTTATTTTTATTAATATTCTGACATCTATACACATAGACTCAATTTCTTCAAAGTTTTTTTTTTCAGTCAGTTATCAGTAATAATTTGAATATTTCTAATAGATTTATCGTGTATATTTATTTTTCATTCTAAAGATTCTATATACATGATATACATATAAATAAATGCTAACTTTATAATATCTTTCAATACAAATATTGAATAGTTCATAGTTCCTCTGAAACGAGAATTGGAGAAAGCTTACTTATATAAACACACGTATGATACACTTTTTAAATAAAGTTTCATTTTTTCATTACTTATTATACAAGACTAATGAATGTAAATTTCTTATTATTGCTTTTTCTTTATGTAACACAAATGCTCTTCTGATAATATTTTAAAAATATCATGGATTCTTAAAGACGAAATTAAAATAACGCTGTGCATAGCTCCAAATAAAGACATATGTACAATAATAAAAACAATAATTAATCAAAAAAATTCTACTTCATTATACACAATAGTAAAGATTTGTAAACATTGTTTTTGAATGGAGCTCAACAGACAGCATGCAAAACAATAAAGGTTTCTGGGCTAGTAAAAACAAATCACTGCTCAAGTAGTTCCTGGCCGGCGACCGTGCAGAGCCTATAGAAAACAGTTTTACCGTGACCATCTTCGCCTGTAAGGATGATTTGTCCATCTTGACCTAATGTTGCCTCAGTTACACTGTTTAGATCAACAGCAACACTAGTACCCTCCGCACCACCTGCTACTTCTGCGAGTGCTTGAACTTCTCCTTGGCTTGTGTGGATCTGTATACATATATATATACATACATATATATATATATACACACACGCACACGCAAAGTATCTTATCTAATGATAACAAACTAAATTCTTATGAAATATATTTATTGCTGTTTTTAATATATTTTGTCAAAAAATATATTTTGGAACTTTATTTTATTTACTAATAAAAATAACAAAAATAAAATTCTCTAGGATATTAAATAATGTGATAATAAATTTATTTAACTCACAGTAGCTACACCTTGAACTTGAGCTGTTGTACCATCCGGTAATGTAATGATAGGATTACTCGGATCTACTTGAATTATAGACACTGTACCATCAGGATTCGTTATTGTCTGTAACACTGCAGTTGGATACTGTGCCGTCATCTGTAATATACAAATTTTTATTATAACATCAATCATTTTTAATTTCTCGTTTATCTTGACTTAGTTAATAGTTAATTAAAATACGAAATTTTATTGAATTTTAACGAACATGATTTTGATTAAGCTAATGAGATTAAAACAAATGAACATATTATTGTCAAAAATATTAAATACTATATATATAATTCTATAATATTAGAAATAAAGCCAGATTCAACTCAAATAAGGGAAACCAAACACATGGAACTGAAACATGGCATATCCGCGTAAAGAAATACGTCTTCGATCTTCATTTCTTTGTTCTCCTAAATAGAATCAGAAATTTAAAGAAACAACATGACAATATGATTAATCAAAATATAAGAACTTAACAGTTCAGTTTGAAATTTTCTTAGAAGATATTTTGTTGCATTATTTACGTATTGTATAATATATCAATATATGTATGTATGTATATTATGCATTAATATCAGTTATGCATTACTGCTTGAAATCTAATGAAATGCATTTTTATCATGTTGTTTCAAATTATTCCTTTTTCTTTAATACACTCTATCCACTCCCACCTGAGTGGCAGTGGCAAGAGCTGTGGGAGATGTTGCAATGATTTGTGCTGGCGAAGAGTTTCCCTTAGATGAATCCGTGCTGCTGAGACGAACAACTCCCACCGTCTGTTGTTGTTGTTGTGACTGTCCACTTTGACCCTGGCTAGACGAATGTGAAGGATGAGACGAGGAATGAGGAGTTGACTGTTGTAATAATACAGTAGATTTATCGTCTTCTTCACTGAATGCTGGTAGAAGATCTTCTCTTCCATGAAATTTATAGCAATTTATTACTATTTGTCTTAAAGCATGTGTCCAAGAAATCTACAATAATATAGAATAAGTTGTTATGATCGTTTTAATTGATAAATAATTAAATTGATTACTAAATACGAACCTTTTGTTTTTCATCCTCGGAACGTGCATCCATACGAACATTTGCCCAAGGTAACTCTTTTGGCCACCAAGGAGGTCGTGTACTATCCCTTCCCCAACCAGGTTTACCTCTACCTGTAGAATACTTTAACATTAAAGGTATAAATGCCCTGAGTTGAGCTTGAGTCATTTTTTCTACAGGTGTAGGTATTCCATCTATTATAAGTGGTGGTAATTCATATAAGGATGGGTCATCCTGAACAGGAGGTGGGGCTTGCTGTGCTAATGCACTTTCAAGTTCATCCATTATAACATTTCTTAAATTTTTTACTACATCTTCTAATGGTTTAGCCCCAAAAACTTTGTAGCTACTATTTGGCTTGCCTGGAGTAGCTACTAATACTACAGCTTGTTGTCCTACTCGTGTGGCAAATTCATCTATTGTTTGCTGTAAGAACATTAAAAAATCAATGTAAAAAATATCAAAAGAGTAAGAAGGATATATTAAAAAATCACTCTTTCTGTTAAGAAACAAGAAGTTTTTGTATATTTATAATTTCTTACTCTAAGTTTTCGTAGAAGCCTGTTTTGTTGTCTTTTTCTTATACTGGGGTTAGTTTCAAAACTATGAGGTCGTTTTCTCTTCTTTGCAGAAACAATAGCAGCTGCTGCAGCTACACCAACAGGACCTATAGAAACATATAATCTTGATACAAATTTTTATATTCTATAATTTCATACATCTTATATGTCAATATAAAATGTTAATTTTGAAAATATTTTAAAGTTATTATGTTTAACATTTAATTCTGAGTATGTTTAATATATTATATTGACATATCAACACATATACATGTAGTGCATTCAAACTAAAGAGATGCATAAGCAATAGTAATATAAGACGTGCTCAAAATCTAAGAGATGTATCATGTATTTACACATAATTTATACTTTTATTTTTAATATAATTGAAAAAAAAAAAAAAAAAAAAAAAAAAATAATAAAATTACTATTACCTAGCAGTTGTGCCTAAAAATAATACTCTTAGATTTTGTTTAAGAAACAAATAAGATTGCACATGTACTAACAAGTTTTGTTGATCTTTTTCTATCAAAATTTGTGCACAAAAAATTGTTTTTTTAAATATATATTGTATTATACGTAAAATATAGTAATAAACTTTAGCAACAATATAAACAGTAATGATCATATTCTAAGTTTAACATAAAAATATCAAAATATAAAAACATCAATACATACTGTTTATAAATAAATTAAAAAAAATATGTCTTGCATATGTTAAAAATAAAGCACATTCTGAGAATATAAGGCATAAATTAAAAAGATGCACGCAAGAGAAATAAAAACATAAAATTAACCGAGGTAATAAAATATGATGGTAGACTATATCATACTGCTCTGTCAATGACTGAATGTAGGTTTCTTTTATCAAAAGGAATATTGTTATGAATTAACATACAGAATTACGAATTTTCATTATTTTTGTAATATATGAAATTTCATTCAGTAAACTTAGTAATTACCAAAACTTGTATCATTGGCAGGCAGGCTCCACTTGCACATATACCGTTTCAATTTTTCTTTTTTCTTTTTTTTTTTCTTTTTCTTTTCTTTTCTTTTTCTTTTTTTTAATGATCAATAACACTCCATAAAGAGTCTTATAAGATAGTAAATTTTACATTTATGACTTCTATTTATGTTAATAAAGTGAATGTCATAGAAAAACATAATTAAATTGAAAGTATGAAAAATGTTACACAGATCTTTATATGCTGTTAATTATTTATGTTAAATTTAAAAAATAATTTAGTGAAACAGATTGTTATAGAAAAAGGATATATTTATCTTTTATATAGCAGAAAATTGATATATTGCATTATTCGGAAAATCTGTAGTGACTTTTAATTGAAATTAAAAAGGAATATTTTTATATATGCTTTTAATTTTCTTCAATAATATATTCTGGACCATGTAAAATATATATAGATTTCATTTCGGAAATAAATTTTAACTTAAAAAACTAAAACGTAATATCTATTTTATGTTTGTAATGCATGTGTACAATATATTTTTTAAATATAAATATATTTTACATATACATATATTTTGTTATATACTTCATAAATGGAAATATCAATATTAGTAGCTATTGAAAATCACTACAACCTTTTTGAATAATTCAAGATACAATATTTTTTATATATTGTAATGATATATAAAAATAATAGTCTAAACAATACTTTTGTAATATCACATCTTATTCTTAGAAACTTGTGGAGACTCTTTAAAGAGAATGATCTCTTGTATCTTACGCGTTCATCGCTATTGGTGTTGAAAAGTATCCGAGATTAAATGTACACAAGGTTCCACAGTCAATGATGAACGTTGTTTGTTGCGTTTAACTTGCAAATGGAAGTGATTAAGCCGTAAATAACTCAAGAGGTGATAAAGCAAAAAAATGGAAATCACCATTAGCGTGTTTGATTTGCCAACCTGCTGCAGCTAGCTGGGCTGTCACATCATCATCCATGGCTGCTGTCAAAAGATCTCCATCCTCATATGTTTCAGACCCACTACTGGGTTCATCATCATCATCATCAGAAATTCTGTCCATTGTGCCGGACTCTGCATTAGGCAGAGACACCATCTTTTTGTCTTCGTCACCCGTTTTGACTTTTTTATATATTGCAATGGCCCAACAAATGTAATTGTAGATCCTGAGATATTCTTTTACATCACCTTATCCTAGTAGAGTAAAGAAATGTTGAGTTAATATCTAAGATAAAATGCGTAGAAAAGAAAATAAATTGATATATATTAACAGTTGGAATTACCATGATTTATATATCTCAACAAATAAAAGATAATTTTGATTTATAGTTATAAAATAATAATATCCTTTTTATAATGATTAATATAAAATAAAATCCTAGAGTAAATTTATCTTTAATAAATAATTCTTGTTAATAAAAATAATACTTGTTAATAAAAATAATGCTTATTATCCTTTCTCCTCAAAAAAGATATATATAATTAACATAATTTTATTAAACGTGTACTTTTTGTCAACAAGGAAACTTATGTGTATTATGATCTATGTAAAGAATTAACAGCTTCATAGTATAATTTATTACTATTTATTTGCAATACAACACATACAATAATACTTCATCACATATTAACATACTAATATTATAACATATCATATGTGAAGAAATTAAAACATACACGTACAGAGAGATAACAGAGACTATACAATAACAATCATGAAATATGTGCAAGTACCAGTTATCTCAGTGATAAAAATATAAAATCAATTTGAAATTAATCCGTTGCAATCCAAATATTAAACATCAACAAAACAAACAATATTAGTATGCAGAATTGTTTAATAAATTGTGTTATAACATTTTTAGAATTTTGTCAAAATTGTTTTATTAACAAATAAAATAATATAAAATAGATATGTAAATGACCTATTATTATAACTTTATCAATGATATTACAATTTATAAATCTTTGAAATATTTTATCTTGACAATATATTATAATTAAAAAAAAAAAAAAAAAAAAAAAGAAAGAAAAGAAAAAAAAAAGAAAAATTATAATATATTAAAAAGAAAACATAAAGAAGGAAAGGGACACACACCAACATACATGACAAGAATTATGAAGTTTGAAATACTAAACTTGTACGTCTATTTGCGTTGGAACACGAAAAATCGATAAAGTAAACGTCATTCGTTTGAAAGTATAGAGGAACATATAACGAGAGTGGGCACACATCGATTTAAAAAAGAGAAAGGTTGAATTTTATGATTTACATGATAAAACAGAAGTTTCTTCGATGATGATTTTCTCTACCTCCTTTTATTTTTCTCATAGAACTGCGAAAAGAACTACGATGGACAAAAAGAATTGAAAATAATTGACGAATAGCGGGAAATATTTCGCTTGGATATCTCGCGCGCATTTTAATATGAACATATGATATGAGAAAGGTAAAATATTTTATAGAAATAAAGAAAAATATATTATACGTCTTCGTTATTATCGATAGATATAAGACTAAAATATATATATAACGATTCCTTCCGCATCCTTTTCCGAGATTCGTCATAATCGAGAGTGAAGTGCAGCGCGTTAAGTTGACAGAAGAGCGTGTCAATGAGAAGACGTAATAGAAAGAGAGAAAAAACGAGAGAGAGAGAGAGAGAGAGAGAGAGAGAGAGAGAGAGAGAGAGAGAGAGAGAGAGAGAGAGAGAGAGAAGGCAGATTGTATCACATTAAGAGTACGAAATAACAAGACGCGTGTAACAGTAAGCTTAGCAGCAATGATGACAGTGGTAACGTCAAAGCAACAACACAACAAAAGCAGGAATAGTCGCAGTAGTAGTAGTAGCAGCAAGAGTGTGGAGTATGGAAAGAGGGTGGAGAGAAAAATAAAATAGTAGAAAAAGAGGAAAAGAGAGAGAGAAAGAAAGAGAGAGAGAGAGAGAGAGAGAGAAAAGAGAGAGAGAGAGAGAGAAAAGAGAGAGAGAGAGAGAGCAGAGAGGATGCGCCAAAAGCCGACACCGCTAAGACGGCGCGTTTATTTTGGGGGGGCAAATGAAAATGCGCAGGGCACACGCAAAAGAGAGAGCACCGTCGGGGGGGCCGTGAAGCTCATGACCGAAGAGAAGGGTATCGCGAGGAGAGTCATGGAGCAGGCCCAGTGAAAATCGCGAGTTGCGTACGCACCTTGTGTGTCCCGTGAGTGGTCACCCGGTGTTACACAGGGAGAGGGCTCAGGGCGCTTCGCGTCTGCGGGGAGACCGCCGTCGCGGGCTATAACCGCACACGCTCTCTCTCTCAACACCACCACCACCACCACCACCACGCCCCACGCGAGCGATTCGAGACGGTCATCGTCGTCGTCTACGTCGTCGTCGTCGTCGTCTCCGTCTGTCTCCGTCAACGTTGTCCTTTTCGTCGGTCGTTACGCGACTCGTGCACTGCGCGTTCCGTGACAGACTTCAAAGGCGAACTACGACGACGAGTTTCTTTTCTCTCTGAGAAAGGGCCGCCGGACGCGCCGGATCCGGGAGAAGCCTAACTCGGCCGCGCGCGCGAAAATCTCAAAGACCCTCCTCTCCTCACCACCACCTTTCGTCCTCGCTATTACTCGCGCCTTCTTCGTCGCTCCGCGCCACAACAACGCGCACGACGACCGCCATGGACACCATGGCTAGTTTCGACGGCGGCGGTGGCGGTGGCGGTGGCAGCGGCGGCGGCAGCGTCGTCGACGGACGTATCGATCGGTTGCGAGTCTGTCTCCGCTGCTGCCGCCTCCGTAGCTGCCGTCGTCGTCGCCACCTCCACTGTCGCTTTACACGCGCCACTACGCGCTTCCTTTCTTTCCTATATCCTTCCTTTCCTTCTTTCTTTCTGTCTTGTTTCCTGCCTCTCAGCCTGCCTGTCTGCCTGCCCACCCGCTTTCTTTGCCCACTCGTCAGGACACACGAGCGTAATAATATGAACGTACACATGAGGGAGAAGGAAAGAACGCGCCAGCATCGAGGAGGGCGGCCATCTTGAGCGAGCCTGCGCGGTGCACTCCAAGCAGACGATGCAAAATTTACCTTTATTTCGCGAATGCGCGTTGCATCGCCATCCTCGCGCCGCGCAATGACAACTTACGTTACGTTTGATCCCGACTTTTTCGTCGACACTTACCGTTTTCTCCTTAGATTCCATGAAATGCCACTGCTGATCCTCGAAACGCGAACACCATATACATGTATAAGAGTCTAGAATAATGCGATTGGTTCGAAGCAATGTGATACGCGTCATGGCGGCCGTCGTACCTAACTTCTCATTGGCGCCTGAAACACGTGACTCAATTTCTTCATTTTTCCCTGAAACGATAGTGTCTCACTCTTTTTCCTTCTGTTGATTGTGTGATCTGTAACCTACAAATATGTTTATGCGCGTTTAAAATTTACGCATTTTACGGTATTATTTTATCTACGTTTATTATTACTGTCGTCGCTTTTTTTATTTCTTCACATATAACGGTGTTCGTAAATACGTATTTGTTGGTTCTATTGACATTGCATTGTTCTTCTAATCGAGATGTCATTCAAAGTGTGTGCATCAAAGATGCATCATTGTTTAAGCTTGTTTTTATTTAAATATTTTGTATTATTGTGTGATATCTGTTAAATATTTATAACCTAGCAATGTCTCTTTTTCTTAATGGTGCATATTGTTTGATTTTGTTTCGTGATTGAGTAATTTTTTGGTGATATTTTTTGAAAGAAATATGTAATGCGCGCATTAAAAGGTGGAAAAAACGAGTTGTATTCCTTTTTACACAGTCACAACTACAAATGTAACAATATAAAAGTATATTATTAAAATAATAATTAATAGCTTAAATTGCTGTAAAGCAATTTTATATATCACATCTCGGGTGGGATGAATTACAAACTAAACACATTGATATATTTTTTTTGTGGCATTAACCAATTGGATTATTAATTTTATGCAGATTTTATCTTTTTTTTTTTAGATATTTCATATTTTTCTAAAGGATATGAAATCTATATTTTTCTTTCTCAATATTATGGAATAAATATCAGTAGTTTTGTTAATCCAACTAGTTATAAAGATAATACCACTGTTGAAAAGTATGTTTCATTTTTAAGCCCAAGGCTTATTTTTGTTACACAATTTTCCAAACCATCCGGGATCACAAAGGCACGTATTATCAGGTTGACAAGTTCCATTTCTGCAAGCTCTTGTGCAAGCTGATCGTTGCGGCGAACGTCTACCTATCTCACAATGATCGCCTTTAAAGCCAGCAGGACATCGACATACGTTATTTCCTTTACATTTACCTCCATTCAGACAAGGAATAACACATTTTGCTAAACACAAATAATTATTAGATTTTCAGAGTTGTAAGTTATATTATACTAATAACATTGAAAACAATTACTTACAAAACTCGCAATGTAAACCAAAGTAACCTTTGGGACATTCACAAGTATCTTTTTGTACACATTTTCCACCATTTAAACATTTTTCTGAACAAATACCTGAAAGATATAAATGATAGATATTTATTTCTTTGAGATAATATGTTTTCATATATCCTTATATATTATGTGTACATCTTTTTATATTATAATTATGTAACAAATATTATTTGTTGTTAATTATTTCCAGAATATTATCAACATTGATAAAGAAAATGTTGCACCTACGCCAATATGGATTACGATTATATAGTACGTCTGCTGCAACTTCAACCACTAAAGCAGGAAAACTCTTAGATTCTATTATAAGAGTGAATCATGCCGGAGAATTGGCGGCTGATAGAATATATGCAGGGCAAATGGCTATTTTGGGTATAGGAACTTTTTGAAAAATTATATTGCATTGTCCTGTATACAGATTTTTCTTGTTTATCTATCTCAACGTATGTTGCTTTAATCGTTATGTAAAACAGGCAATACTCCAAAAGGTCCGATGATTCAGCATATGTGGGATCAAGAGAAAAAACATCGTGCTAAATTTGAAGAATTAATTCGAAAGTATCGTGCACGACCCACTGTATTTGTACCTGTTTGGAATATAGCTGGATTTGTTCTTGGTGCTGGAACAGCATTAATGGGAGAGAAAGCAGCTATGGCGTGTACCGTAGCTGTCGAAACTGTTATTGTAGAGCATTATAATGATCAATTACGTAATTTAATGGAAACGGGTGAAGTCATAGACAAAGAATTATTAGATACGATTAAAACTTTTCGCGATGAGGAACAAGAGCATCACGATACGGGATTAGAACATGGAGCTGAACAAACTCCTTTTTATGGAATAATCACAGATATAATAAAATTCGGTTGTAAAGCCGCCATTTCTATTTCTAAAGTAGTATAAATTATGTTAATTTCAATGGTAGTCTATACATATATAGAAGCATTTGTTACTCCTTTAATGCCACATGACTTTTATTAAATAAACATTTTTTGTTAATAGCTATTATTATAAAAGTTTATATAAATTTGCATACCCCCTTCGCAGTAAGGTCCTTGAAATCCAGCAGGACACGAACATACGCCGGGTGCCGTACAGTTGCCACCATTCATACAATTTGGATAACAGAGTGCTTTTTTACAATGCGGTGGACCCAAATAACCATCAGGGCAAGGCCCTGGATTTGGCTCTAAAATTTAAAAAGAAAGAAGAGAATTGTAAATACTTTTTTTTTTTTTTTTTTTTTTTCTTAAAAGTTTCAATTAAAGTTATCAGTAAATCAGTAAAGAACGAAAATAAAAAGAACAATGAATTTACACTTCCTCAATTGATGAAAAACTTTATTTATTTTGATATATAATAAATAAAAGTAGATATGTAAATTAAGGAATAACGTCGCAAATATATTGAATATACTTACCGCGCAAGTTGCATTCTTTTCTTAAGCTAAGATGAAGCGGTGTTCCGTTCAAAGGTTTACCTTTCCGTGTTTCGATCATTAAACCAATTCCAAATTGTGCTATCCCTGAATTATTTCCAGTACAAGGTAATAAAACACTAAATTCTGTAATACACAGAGAAAAAAATAATTATTAAAAAAAAAAAAAAAAAAAAAAAAGAAAAAAAAATAGAGAAATAATTTTATAAAGAACATTGTAGAATGAACATGAATTCTGATCTTTACCCTTTGCTCTTTTCGGTACTCTTCCTTGGGTTTTAATTGTGATCGACGGAGTTTTGAGAATTGATTCATCGAAAGATTTCAGTCGATAGAAGTTATAATAATATTTTTTTACACCAGATTTCCATGTAAAATTTACGTACGATACTTCGCTAGGAATAATCGGTAGCTTATTTTCAAATTCTGGATCCAAAAGATATGATAAAACAATGCCCTCCGAAATGACATAGATTTCCATTTCAACACCTAATAAAAATAATGTCGATTTATCGTAACAATTTATAAAACGATATATATTTTATGATAATGTGATAGAAAAAAAAACTTTAGATTCGAAAAAGGATCGATACTATGATGTTCTATAGGCATTGAAATCACTGATCTAATGATATAGAATATTTCGCGTAATAGTATGAGTGATTGTAATATTGTATTTAATATAATATATTAATAATATTAGCAACGAGCAATTAAAATAATATAAAGCTTTTCTATAAACAAGAATAATGATTAATTCCTAAAATATTTGTTAAAGTTTTCCTCTCTTTTTCTCTCTCTCTCTCTCTCTCTCTTATATACATCTTATATACTCTCTCTTATATACTCTTCACATACATGTGAATAAACCGACCAATAATTAAAAAGTTATTTTACCACAGTAATTTTCATTTCAGTTTACGATAGCAAAATTTTGAAAAAAAAAAGATCGATGAAATATAAAACAATAGATAGGGACTTCCCAGCGCTATTATTAATTCTTCGGATAGAAAGTTTGTTTTTATTGAAAAATGTAATATGAAATAATAAAAATTACGATCCCGTAATATCGTAATTTAATTTTATCGAGAAAATAATTCACTCACCGCTGAACATTTTAATTTGCTGTTGGTCGATCCAAAGAGATATATCACTGGATGGTTTGTGACCATTACCAGAACGATGATGGTGATGATGCCTGGCCGTAGTAATGTCGAAAATAAATAAAGCGATCACCGCCAAGGTAAGGGCGGCTGTCGCCCACCGCATAATCATTTATGAAATGCTCTAAGCGCTTTTTCCGTCAGGTGTTACGCGCCTTTCCTAAAATCTCTCCACCCCCGCTTTAAGTCCTTCTTCTCCCCACCACCTTTTACCAATCTCTCAGCCCGCGGGCGCACGCACGCACGTACGATGACGTACGCACGCGAGCGTGCTTTCTCCTTTTCTCTTCTTTCTTTCTCTCACTACCGACTCCTTTTTTTCTTCCTTTCTTATCTTTCTCGTCGTCGTTGTCGTTGTAATTGTCGTAGTCGTAGTTGTCGTTGTCTTTGTCGCCGTCGTTGTATTGATAACGATGATGATAATGATGATGATGATGATAATGATGATAATGATGATGATGATGATGATGATGATGACGATCGTCGTTGCCACCGTCGCGTCGCGTCGCGTCGCGCACTTTAGAGAGCGCGCGCGCGCGCGCCTTGATTCGCCGCGTGAAATGGGCTTTTCACGGGCGTGGGACCGGCCGCCACTTCAATAAGATAATCTTGTTAGATGATAGTGATCTTTCGTGAAATACCCTTTAATCTTCTGAATAAATTTCTTTCTTTCTTTCTTTCTTTCTCTCTTTCTTTCTTTTCTTTACTTTTTTTACTTTCTTTACTTTCTTTCTTTCGTTTCTTTTTTTGTTTTCTTTCGAGACCAATCTCGTATCTTCTAATGAAAATTTTGATTAAAAAACTGATCTTTCACGTTCCTTGTCCAGTCGATATTACAGTATTATCGATGATACGACTTATACGAGCTGATACGAGTGGA